CCTGGCACGGAAGGGGAGTTCTGTTTCCTAAGGGTGTGCATTTCCTGCCCAGGGCCACGCGACCTGGCGCCTCAGAGAGGATGCCAGCTGGAGCTCCTTCAGGGCGGCTGTGCCAACAACGCTTGGTCACACAACCTTGCAGGCTAATGGAGTCATCAACACAGCCACGAAGACTTGCGGACGCCAAGCTCTTCTGCTGCGTTCCGGCAGAAACACCTGATGAGGCTATGTACTGGTTCACACCACACCAACACTCAGTGAGCTGCCCGCCGAGGGGAAGAACCTATAGGTAATGGCACGGAACCTCAAGCCTCACTGGAAGCCTCACTGGAGCAGTGGTACACGGGGGAGGGCGTTGGCCCTTCATGCGCCGTCAGCTTGGGTTCAATCCCTGGCATGAGATGGTCCCCCGAGCCCCACCAGGAGTAATTCCTGATGTGGAACCAGGAGTCAGGCCTGAGCACTGCCAGGTGTGGTCCAGAAACAAAAAAGACCTATGAGCAAATGAAGAAAAAATATAAAAGATGTAGAACCGTATCAAAAAAGTCACAGTTGGGGCCGGAGCACTAGCACAGCAGGAAGGGCACTTGCCTTGCACACAAGCCCTGCTAGGAGTTACTCCTGAGCACTGAGCCAGTGTGAGCACTGCCAAGTGTGACCTAAAGACATATGTTGTATGAACGTTCGGTTAGACAGCTTCGAGAGAAATCATTTTTCACAGACCATCACAGGACTTACTCAGATCTTATAACCAAGAACAAGCTTCTCAGCCTCCTTTTATTTGCTGGTTTATTATACTCCCATCCAATGAAATTCAAGAGACTAGGAAGACTCAAAATAAGGAACCAAGGCATAGGATGAGCATGTATCAAAGTATACATTGTTTTGCCCTATTTACAAGCAAACAGTTACAATTTCCAAGGAAGAAAACATGGTCTAGCTTTAGGTTCCACAGGTCACAACTTCCTCACACCTGGGGTCTGTAATAAACAGGAGAGGATGTTTACATCTAAAGGTTAGCTAGGGCGCTGGAGTGATAGCACAGCAGGTAGGGCGTTTGCCTTGCCCGTGGGTGATCCCTGTTGGATTCCCAGCATCCCATATGGTCCCCTGAGCACCACCAGGAGTAATTTCTGAGTGCATGAGCCAGGAGTAATCCCTGTGCACCGCTGGGTGTGACCCAAAAGGCAAAAAATAATAAATAAATAAACAAACAAAGGTTAGCTAGGTCTAAGATATATGAGAAGGGGAAGCTGCTTCTTTGTGCTTCAAGCACTTGCTGGCCACAGAGGGTCAGTTTGGCCTTTTCCATATCAGTCGGACTCACAAGTTTAGGCTCACCCACTTGGTGCAATGTGGGATCCTGGTTCTGCTTCCTCCTTGCAGGGCAGCGTCCAAGGACTCATCTTCGGGGGCTGGAGCAATAGCACAGCGGGGAGGGCGTTTGCCGTGCATGCGGCCAACCCGGGTTCGATTCCCAGCATCCCATAATGTCCCCTGAGCACCGCCAGGAGTAACTCCTGAGTGCAGAGCCAGGAGGAACCCCTGTGCATCGCCGGGTGTGACCCAAAAAGCAAAAAAAATTAAACAATTAATTATTTTTAAAAAAAAAAGGACTCATCTTCATGATCTTCGTATGTTGGGCACCAACATATATATAAAACATTTTGCAGCGCGTATGCTGCCCAAGCCCATGTAATGTTTGCACCCACACGGCCGAGCACATGTTGCGGCTGAGTATATGTGTCGCCGGCATCTCCCCTCTTGAGATGTGTACTTTCATGTATTCGTGTCTAATGCTGGTATGTGTGTAGGGGTTCTCTCCGCCCTTGGAGAAGCCCGAGTTCTCTTCCTCACTTTCTCCCCCTCCACTCCCTCAAAAAAAACCCTCCAAATAAAATCTATTTATTTTTTTAAAAAAAAGCAACATTTTGCAATCTAGGCAAAGTGAAAAAAGATGTGCTCTCTCTAACTTGGCGAGATGGTGTGCAAGAATGAATCAGTGTGGGCTGTGGCGAAACAATCAGATTGAAGGACAGAGAGGGGGACCACAGGGGGCTCAATCGTTCCAGTTCAAAACTCAAACACCACCAGCAGAGAATAGGTCATTCAGGAATCAGCCAGTGAGGCTAGAGCCATGGAGGGCAGGTGGTGATGGCCCTCGGGCTGCTGCTGGGCCTGGCTCCATGTGGAAAACAAAAGGAGGTCATCACCTTCGGGGTCGCTGGAGCTGAGTCTCAGAGCACCATGGCTGGGGCTGGGGTCAGAGTTTCCCTCCTCCCTTCCTCTCCAACACCGACACCACCTCCTGGCCTGGGCTTAGGGGCAAAGGGAAGGCCCCACTGCGATGAGTGCAGGGCCATTGGAACTGGGCCGCCAGAGGCCTCAAGGAATGGGGACCCGGCTGGACCTCCAGGTTCTGTGAGGGTCCCCTTGACACTGGGACCTTGAGCTGTGAGTGCTTAGCGCCTCTCCAGAACCAGGTGTGCGCCCTACATTCCCGTCTAGGACATGAAGAGGGTAGGGCTGCCGCATCCTAATTGGCAAACATCCTTCTGGGGACGATGCCAGCAACCCCCCCCCCCCCCACACACACACACACACAATCTCCGCAATTGCAGCCCAGAGCCGGCGTAGCATTTCCTGCTCGTGCTCTCTCAAGTGCTCTTCAGCCCCCTTCACAGCAACCAGGCACGTCTGCAGCCACTTGGCGCTGCGGCAGGAAGCCCTCCATGCCTGCCCAGGCACCTGCCCGTACCAACGCCCATGCCCCACTGACTTCAGACCCTCCTATCGTGTGGCAGGGTTCCCGTCACCTCCTCTTCACTGGCTGGGCTGGGTGCCAATTGATGGTGCGGAAGGAAATTTGTCATTTACCCTGAGTGGTTTCATCTCTGTGGGGTATTTTTTTTTGTCTCCCCTGGTGATGCTCAGGGGTTACTCTTGGCTCTGCACTAAGGAACTTGTCCTGGCGGTGCTTGGGGGACCATATGGAATGCCGGGAATTGAACCTGGGTTGGCCACTTACAAGGCAGGTGCCCTCCCCATTGTACTGTACTGTAGCTCCGGCCCCCAAATCCCATTTCTTGACATAAAAGTTATTCCCAGCGGCCACTGTGGGGTAACCTGTGACCGCCAGCATCGAGGGAGCCAGTAAGAACTCCACATCTGACCCAAGTTCAATCCCGGCACCCCATATGGCCCCCAAGTCCCACCAGGAAGGATCCCTGAGCTCAGAGCTAGGAGTCAGTTTTGAGTAGTCAGGCATGACCCCAAAACAAAGAACCCCACATTCTCATGGTGAGACGGTGATCAGTTGTGGGAAGGGCCCGTGAGGTAAGCTGTTTGGGGTGTAGCCTGAGCATCTGGGGGAAGGAGGGGTCCTCTCAGCTGTGTTCTGTGACTCAGTTACAACTTTCCTATCATCAGATTTTTGGGGACAGATTGCCCAAAAAAGAAGTTCCAGGACAAGGGGGGAAGAAAGTGAGAAAGGAAAAGATTCTTGCTTTTGTTTGAAATCTATTATTTTTCTCCTGGAACATTCCACTTAAAAGAACCAATAATCAATCTCTCTCTCTCCTCTCTCTCTTCTCCTCTCTCCTCTCTCCGTTTGATTTTGATTAATCTAGTCCTTGTTTTTATGCCTATAATCAAAAGAGCTAAAGAGCTAACCATTATGGAAAGAATTACTGGGATTCAAGCCAGCACACACCAAAGGCTCAGTGCTTTGAAAATCCAAACCAAGAAAGCTCTGGCTGTGTCCGGAGTTTCCATATCCAGAGGAGGGACTCAGAGAAACGGCTGATTACTCGTGAGGAACGGGGAAGACCAAATGGGCCTGGAGCCTCTCATTCCACAGATGACAAGCACATCAGAGATGACGGCCATTCCCCGCCCATGAACTCCACAGCCCACCTGAGAGGCCCCTGCTGGCCCCCAACAGCCCTTTCATCACTCACGCAGACAGTGACTGCAACAACTCTAAATATTTGACATGTGCACCATACCGCACATCCACGGTGATGTTGAAAGCAAAAGGAGAAGCCACAGAAAGGGTGTGGTCTCTGCAGGGTGCCACGACCCCATTTACCACTTGGAAGCTGGAGGGGGCTCAAAGCCCTGATCCCACGTTTTACATGCCAGGGTCCAGGGTTTGATCCCTGTGGGAATGGTTTCCTGAGTACCATAGAGTGACCCACAGCTCACCCAAAAATAATCAGATGTTTATTCTGCCTCCTATATGATCAGCTCCTCAGAACAACCACATGGGAAATGGGGGTAGACTTTTTTTTTTTTGGAGGAGGGCACGTCCAACTGTGCTCAGGGCTCCCTCCGGTCTCTGCACTCAGGAATCACTCCTGACAGAGCTCGCAAAACCTTATAGGATGATGGGGATCGAACCCAGGCTGTGTGCAAGGCAAGTACACTACCCACTGTACTATCTCCCTGGCCTTGAAAACATCGTAATGGAGATTGTCCAGCTTATAATAAAGGGGTAATTATCCATGGTCTGGATCCCTCTGGAGGAGCCAGCTCAGACCCTGAGGATATAACAGGCAGAAGGCTGAGGCTGATAACACCACACGACCACAGACCACAGACCACCAGAGACCAGGACACAGACCACAGACCACAGACCAGGACATAGACCACAGACTACGACACAGACCACAGACTACGACACAGACCACAGACTACGACACAGACCACAGACTGCCACACAAACTACAGACTGCCACACTGACCACAAACCATGACAGAGACCACAGACCATGACATAGGCCATGACACAGACCACAGACCACCACACAGACCCCCAGACTACCACACAGACCACACAGCTCAGCGCTGGGGTCGAGACACAGCAGCCCATAGAGAGAGTTCAAGGAAAGGAAACCATGTGACGTGTCCACTCAGTTTATTCACTCACAAGACTGTGCAGATGTCAGACTATGGCAAAGAGAGGCAAACGGCCTGGGGGAAGATACACTAGTGGGGGGGACGGGCACGGGCACTACAGGGAGGGCAGACCCAGGGCACCCCTCAGAGAACATGCACCCACCCAGCAGGGCTGCGTGCGTCGCCTCATTCCCGGACATAGATCCTGGTGCAAACGACATCATCAGCACCGAACGTCTGTGGAGAGAAGGAAGCTGGTCAGTGCAGGAGGGCACAGGGTTTGGGGAGTGCAAAGAAAGCACCTGGGGGTGGGGAGAACGGGCTGTTAACACAAACCCTTCAACTATGGGGCCGGAGCAATGGTACAGCAGAAGGCGCTCGTCCTGCATGTGGCCCATCTGGGCTCGATCCCGAGCACTACATATGGTCCCCAGAGCATGCTAGGAGTAAGCCCTGAGCACCGATGGGTGTGACCTCAACCCCAAATAAACAAAAAACCTTCAAAGAAAACCCTGACTTCAGATCCCACAAGCCCAGCGTGAAGCTGCCCCTCAAGGCTCGCTGTCTGAGAAGTGGGGAGGGCGTGCACGGAGCTGAAAGGGGGACGTGGACAAGGCCCCTGGACCCCCACAGGTGCCCAGCATCCCGTCCCTCACCACACAGACAGTGCCAGCCTCTGGAACCCAAATTCCTGCTCTGCGAACTCTGGAGTTAGAGCAAGAGGCAAGAGCGTCGGCCGGTCCCAGAACCACACTCCGCTCATCACTCAAAGCCACCGCAGGAACCAGTTTGGAGCTGAGACCCCCGTTTCACAGGAGCTGGGCAGAGGGGTCTCCCCTCTCACGCTGTGCATTTCCTCCCGGCCCCTCCGTATGACACTAAGAAACGGGTTACAGCCGCTGAGGGTGGAGCCCACACGGAACCAGAGGGAACAGTCCATGGAGCTGCGGGGAGCGGGGGGTCATGTGAGCAGGCAAGGGGTCCCGTCCCCTCACCCCCAACTGAGGAAGGGGAAGGGATGTGGGCACACCGCACAGGTCCCTCGAACCTCCTGGGCATACGTGCTGCTGGGTCAGAGATGTTGAAAATGTCTCCTCAAAGCACCCCCGCCCCTTCAGGCTGATGCCTGGACGCTGCCCAGCACAGCTCTGCTGTCCTGCCCGACTCCCATAGGCGGCTGGACTCTCGACATCCAGAGTAAAAATGCTCGCGGGCTCCCGGCATGGACACCCTGACCTTCCCCAGAGAACCCCAGGGCATGAAAAGGGAAAGCAGCCAGGCCCCCACAGTGGCCTGACCTGGGAACCCAGTGAGTGCCCGGGTCCCTGTGACCATGCGTCTGCACAACAACCTTTCCTCTCTGGCTCCCATTCACATGGTAACCCCAACCCCACAACCTGATGGGGGCAGAGCAATGGGGCTGTGTGCGGACACTGTGGTCTGGGGGTGGGTGGACACTCTCTAGGGATGGGACATTGGATGGGGCAAGTTTCTGCAGGCAGTCCTGGGAGGGGACACAGGGGCGGGAGGGGTGGTCCGTGCAGGTGCCCCCCAGGGAGCAGGGCTGCTGGGGGTGCTGGGTGGGGGCATCCTGGCTCGTGGGGAACTATCCAGGCAGGGCCTCACCAGGATGAGCTCATCGTTGGCCAGCTCCCGGGTCCAGTAGGTCTTGGGGCCCTCGCCTTCCAGGAGCGTCTGGGCACAGTGTAGTTTGTTCTCTTTCTCCCAAGTGGCCAAACTCTGCAGGCAGGAAAAACAGCCGTGACATTAATGACGCCTCCAGTAGCAGAAGCAGACACAACAAAGAGCCTCTGGGCAATCGCTAAGCAGAGAAGCTGCCACAGAGCACAGAGCCTTCAGGCTTCCCGTCCATGGCCCCATACGCAGGGACTTCGCCACAGGCACAGAGGACCACTGGATGGATTTTTTTTTTTTTTTTTTTTGCTTTTTGGGTCACACCCGGCGATGCACAGGAGTTGCTCCTGGTTCATGCACTCAGGAATTACTCCTGGCAGTGCTCGGGGGACCATATGGGATACTGGGAATAGAACCTAGGTCGGCTGCGTGCAAGGCAAACGCCCTACCCGCTGTGCTATTGCTCCAGCCCCCTGGATGGAATTTTAAAAAAAAAAAGGATGGGACCAAAGCCACGGCACAGTGGACAGTGGGGAGGGAGCATACCTTCCATGAACCTAGGTTCAGTCACTGCAACCCTAGCCCATCAGGAGTGATCCCTGTGTGCAGAGCCAGGAGTAACCCCTGAGCATTGCATATGCGGCCCCCAAAAATACAAAACCAAAAAAGGAGCTAGAACGGTTAATTTATGCTGAAGTATATTTTCCTTTCAAGCAGTTTGTTTGGACTTCATTTTTATTTTTTGATTTTCTAAAAAAATGTTCATTTTTTTGCCACACCCAGCGGTGCTCAGGGGTTACTTCTGGCTCTGCACTCAGGAATTATTCCTGGGGGTGCTCCAGGGACCATCTAGGATGATGGGGACCAAATGCAAGCTGGCCATGCACAGGGCGAGTTATTGCTCGGGGACCTTGCTTGAATGGTAAAAGCAAGAATCTTCCTCCAGGAAGTACAGGATTTTAGCAGTTGAGAGCTGCTTTTGAAACCACATCCATGGCACCCTGCAGGGGCTCTGCTGCCTGCAGGACTCTTGGGGAAACACGTTATATTCCATCAAAGTGTGTCTCTGCACTGGGTGTAAAGCCCAACTCCTCTCCAGGTACCATCCGCTAAGCAACACCCAGACTTTTGCCTTCTGAGAGAGAAGAGGGGTCACCTTGGGGCCAGAGAGACCCTCAGCAGCTAGGAAGCTTGCCCGCCATGCAGTGACCCAGGTTCCATCCCCAGCATCTCCGAGAATTCCCCAAGTCTCATCACAAGTGACCCCTGAGCACAGAGCAAGGAGTGAGCCCTGAGCATCGCTACACAAAAAGGAGGAGGGAAGTCCTGCCTGTCTGTCTCCCCTGCCAAGGTGGGGGATATCCCAAAGCACACAGACTTGCAGCTTTTAATGGGAATTATGCCAGGTCTGAAGTGTGCCCCAAGGTCCTTCCCGTGGCCCTTCCCGTGGCCTTCCCCGTGGCCCTTCCCGTGGCTAGGCTTTCTTCCTTCCACAGGGTCCTGATTCTGGTTTCTGTTTCATTTTACTTAGTTCTTTCTGTTTGTGTCCACCCCTAGGGGTGTGTTTTGGGCTCCTTCTGGCCCAGTGCTCAGGGTTCCGTGTGGTGCACGATCTAACTGGGGTGTCCTGTGTGCGAAGCCCATATTTGGCCCACTGTGTCATTTTCCTAGCGTCTGTTCCTGGTTTTCACAAAGTTCTGTGCTTTGGGGGCTCAGTTCTGGTCAGTCTAAGCCTGGACATCAGGTCCAAGGCGGCTGCGTGGGTGAGGCTGTGTCTCTGAGACACAGTGCCTGTCTCACAAACCCCACCCAAGCCCCACCCAGGAATGGTCAGCACAAGGCTCTGGGATGTGACCACACTCGGGAAAGGGAGAGAGACACTGGCCACTTCTTCAGCAAGTGCCAGCAGTGGTCTGCACTTTGCTGCCTCTCCTGGAAATACAGAGGAGACAAGCCTTTCTCTTCCACCAGAGCAGCCAAAGGCAAGGCTGGACGTCCATACAAGGGCTGAGCCTGTCCGACAGGTGGAGAAGCCCCGCTGGTCCCGCAGAGTTCACCTCCCCAGCCGGTACCGCCCCCCGCCCCCCCCCCCCCGCGCCGTCGTCTGCCCTTCCTTTAAGGTGGGCGGGTTCAGACCGCTGAAACTGGACCCCAAGCTTTCCCAGGGGCCCCGGGCAAGGTGGCTGGGGGAGGGACGCGAGCTGCGCGCCCGGGACCGGGACGGCAGTTCATCCTGGCCGCTGCAGGGCACTCGGGGCCGGCTCACCTGGTCCAGGAGAAGCTCGGGCCGGGCTGGAAAGCTCGGCGCGGCGCTTCTCTGAGCCCGGACACCTGTGTGGACAGCTGGAGCGCGCGCGCAGGGGGCCTTGGAGACACAAATCCCGGGGGGGAGGGGGATGGGGGGAGGGCCGCGGGGGGGCACTTGGAGACGCGGGTCCTGGGGGTCGCGTGCGTGGGTGGCCTTGGAGACCCGGGTCCCGGGGGTCGCGTGTAGGGAGCCTTGGGGACCGGGTCCCGGGGATCGCGCGCCCGGGGGGGCCTTGGAGACGCGGGTCCTGGGGGTCGCGTGCGTGGGTGGCCTTGGAGACCCGGGTCCCGGGGGTCGCGTGTAGGGAGCCTTGGGGACCGGGTCCCGGGGATCGCGCGCCCGGGGGGGCCTTGGAGACGCGGGTCCTGGGGGTCGCGTGCGTGGGTGGCCTTGGAGACCCGGGTCCCGGGGGTCGCGTGTAGGGAGCCTTGGGGACCGGGTCCCGGGGATCGCGCGCCCGGGGGGCCTTGGAGACGCGGGTTCCCGGGCAGCGGCCTCACCCTGCACTTGCGCCCGTCCACGGTCTCCTCCTCGAAGCCTTCGCCGACCTTGAAGTTGATCTCGGTGGTGCGCACGGTGGTGGACGTCTTGATGTAGAACTGGTCCCCGTCCTGGCGGATCTCCACGTGCGGCTTGGACGCGGCCGCCACGGCCACTTTCCTCAGCATGGCGTTGACCCCTAGGAGAGGGAGACAGGTGCGGGCTGGACTCTGTGGGCCCCGCAGCCCGGGAACGCGTCCCCACCCCGCGCGCCACCGCCGCACGCCACTTCCCAAGGCGAGAAAGGGTGGGCGGCAAGACCCGGGTGCAGACCGAGACCCCCACCCAGCCGGACTCGGCCCCCGAAGTCCACCTCCGCGCCGTCCGAGCCGGCTTACCCAGCGCCTTGAGCAGCTCGTCGAAATTCTCGCTGCTGCGCATTTTCCAGGTGCCGGCGAAGTTGGGCATCGTGGCGGTGGCGGCGGCTGGCACCCGGCACCCTCCCGGAGGCTCTGCGGACACTGAGGTCTGAGCCGCGGCGTCGCGGGGACAGCGCCCCCGACCCGGGCCGGCCCCGCCCCCAGCGCCTCCCACCCGCTCAGGGCCCCGCCCACCGAGCCCCCATCACCCGCCTGCAGCAGGGGGTCGCCTCTGCACTCAGCCTCACCCCGTGCTCCTGTCAAGCGTGGAGGACTGAAGGACGGGGTTCGCCAGGAGCGGGCAGTTGTTGAAACTAAGCCAAGAGGGCTTGGGAAGATGCCCGCTCCCAGTCTCTCCTCTGGGTGTCCCCCCCCCCCCCCCGCCCTACCCCCAAATTCCCATTCCACATCCACAGCCCCCAGGGTCAGGGTCCGTGCCTGGAGCCTGGGAGATCGTGGGTGTTGGACATGCTGAGCTGGGGGTGAGAGCCCAAATTTTCCTTAAGTCTCTGTACACTTTGGTGCCGTCCACTATTTCCCAGCGCCTTTGCCCAGTGGCACCCTCTGCAGAAATCTCACCCGTCCACATGTGACCGCCCTTTCTCTTGCGAAACTCCATCTCCTAACCAAATTGGATTGCTTCGTTTCTGAACGCACAAGAGCATCACTTACTTCTGCTCTTGCTCAAGCATGAATCTTCCCAGAGCCCTCAGAAGAGGCACTGCCTCGGGTGCTGGGAGTGGCAGAGAGGAGGAAAATCAGTGGCAGAGAAAGTCGACTTTCCTTGCAAAAAGCAGTCGGAGTGCAGGGGGCAGGCTTTGCAGCCGAGGAAAGGGGCAGAGAGATGAGTATTTAGGAGTTTTTACTCTGGGCATTTTCATCATTTCCTCCATCGATTCCCTGGTGGAAGAGACCAGAGGATGGAGAAGGTGCCATAAAGCAGCAGAGGACTCATGTGGGCAGGCAGAGTGGCAGGCAGTACCAGTGGGGAGACTCATCCTGGCTATTTCCTGCTCAGCCCAAGGATACTCTGCTGCCTGGCAGGTGGAGACAGGTGGCTTCTGGGCTGGACACAGAACATGAGAACATGAGGTGGACTTTGTCTGGGACTTTATAGCACATATTCTGGGGTGCCGTGTGCCTGTATGTTACCCTACACGTGGACTCATAACCAGACGCCCCTTTTCTCTGGGCTACAAATGTTGCTGAGTCTCTGGTCAGGGGCCCGGGTCCCTGAGCAGGTCTGCCCACAGGGAGTGTGGCAGGCCAGCCTGGCAGTCAGGGTGACTGGAAAGACAAACCAAAGGAAGTCTGGAGGCACTTCCAGAGCTCAGGGGACGCCCCAACGCCTGGGGTCTCTGGCTGTCCCAGGGCAGCGGGCAGGCCTGAGCAGCCTCTGATCTATGGCCTTTTGGCTGGAGGAAGTAGCAACATGAGGCTGGTCTGGCTGGAGCCCAGCAGCTCCAGGCAGGATGTGGGGAGCAGTGCTCTGGGGGGCCGTGAGATGCCTCCCCTGGAACCAGGGAGCCCAGCATCAGGCTGGCAGTATGCAGTAGCTTATGGGGGTGGCTCCCAGCATGTCGACTTCTGCTGGGGGCGCGCAGCACCTGCGCTCAGCCCTCGGCCCTCTCTCTGTCTAGGGCCTATTGGCTCTGATGGCCTCCGGGGCCCAGCTGCTGCTCTCTGCGGTCCAGCTGCTGCTCTCTGCCCAGGGCGTATCTGTGGGTCAGTCAGAAGCTGCAGGCTGCCCAGCTCCCTGTAGGCAGACAGTGGAAGAATGGGGTCAGAGTTTAGTCCCTGCAATCTAGGGACTCAGAGAGGGTCCCAGTGGGGGGCTTAGGGATGGGACCGCTTTGTGGAGTGGGGACTGGGTCCCAGGCAGCACGATCTGGGAGGCAAGATAGGACAAAGGAGAGAGGAATTGGATTTTTGTGGGAGGGCGGTGGGGGCACTGGCACAGATTCCAGCAGTCAGAGGCCAGCCACAGCAGGCAGGAGAGGCCTGGGGTCCCCGGAGTCCCACAGCTGACAAGTTCCTGAGGTCTGGCCTGTGACAGGCACTGAGAGCATCCTCTCTCTCCTTGCTACGAGTTTCAACCCACTCACAGGAACTGAAGCCGTGGGTTGAAACAGGGAGGTGACAGGCTAGAGGACAGGACAGAGGAGAGGGTGCTGGCCTTGCATGAGGCCAACCTGGGTTTGATCCCTGGCACCCCACATGGTCCCCAGAACCCACGGGGAGTGATGCTTGGGCACAGAGCCAGGAGTCAGCCCTGATAACCACCAGGTGTGGTCAACCCTCCCTCCCCACCAAAAAACCCAGGGAGGTGATGGACCAGAGCCACAGCACAGCGGGGAGGGTGTTGGTTTTGCATGTAGCTAATTCAGGTTCAATTCCTGGCATCCATAGGGTCCTCCTGAGTGCAGTCAGGAGAAAACCCTGAGGACTGCAGGGCGGTGGACAAGGCAGGCTGGCCTAGGGTCTGTGGCTTTCTAGCCCACTGGCTGTCTCACCACACAGATGGGCCTGGAGGGGGTGTCCAGCCCAAGGGCCTCCATGCATCTCCTCGAATTGACTGCCCAGGGAGATGGCTTGGGGGACAAGCTTTGGTTCGAAGATTTGTGGGCACACTGGAATCGCCTGGAACCCTCCTCAGAGAGACAGCGGGGTGATTGCAGGGGTGGATGGTCACAGGTGTTAGTTCATACTGGTCTGTGCATGTGTGTGCAGGTATGTGTGTGTGTGTGTGTGTGTGTGCGCGAGTATATATGTGTGCCCGCTGCTCTGGAATGTTCTCTGTGTGTGTGCATGTGTATGCGAGTATGTATGTGTGTGCACGTGTGTGTGCCTGCTGCCCTGAGGTGTTCTGAGTGTGTGCATATGCATGTCCGTACACGTGTGTTTATGTGTGTGAGCATGTGTGTGCGTGTGCGTGTATGTGTATGAGAGCATATATGTGTGTGTGCACATGCGTGCCTTCTTCTCTGGGGTGTTCTTTGAGTGTGTGTGTACATGTGTATGTGAGTATGTATGTGTGTGTGCACGTGTGTGTGTGCGCGCGTGTTGTGTGTCTGCAGGGGTCTGTGTCCTGTGGTCACCCTGTCTACCTGCCATGGCTCCTGCCAGGCCCCTCTGGCGGCTCAGCTGCCTTCTCTCCACCTCCAGCTTCTGTGGAAACTCTTTCACAGTCCAGCATTCCAGCGTGTATCAGCCCCATTCTAGCTATCCCTGACCATTCCCCGCCCAGCCATCATCCACTCCTGTATGTCCTGGCCCCAGCTGATGCTCTGCTTCACACTGGCCCTCAGACATTGGCGTCTCGCTCAACCCACAGTTACCCCTGGATCCCTTCATGCCTCCCCACAAAGCACAAAGTCTCAGCTCCCACCAGCCCATCTCCCCACCACCATCACCCCGTGGAGACTTTTCAGCGCTGGTGGTGGGAACAAGAGAGGTGACTGCTTGCGTGGGGGCCCCAGGTGCCAGGTGCACTGTCACGAGGTGAGCGCCTCTTTACAGCTGCCCATGGTGGGCTTTGCTGTCCTCCCCACTGGCGACCTGCCTGCAGTGCAGCCTCCGTAAAGTGCCCCTCAGTGCACACTGGAAAGGGATCTGATTGATCTGGGAGTCTCGGGCTGCCAGGCAGGGAACAGGGCTGATTTATCAGGAAACACCAAACCCCCTTTCAGCACAAAAGGAAGGAGAAGGGATTAATGGCAATGGCGACAGCCGTGCACCGGGGGTCCGCACTGCCGGGCAGTTCCCCCAGTCACAGCCATCCACCTGCTGCCCAGAGGTGGCCACAGGGCCATCAGCTGCTTCTCATCGATCGCCCAGCTCAGGGTGCCAAATGGTGTTTTGAAAGTCCATCAAAGAAGCGGCACCGTGAGCCTGATCGATTGCAGAGCAGCGGTGGCACAAAGCTGGGTCAGGGGCCGAGCCATCACTGTCAGGATGAATGGCGGCCCCGAAACAAAGCTGCACTGGGCTTAGACCACCACTCCCCGCGGCCTTCTCGGCCCAGACCGACACATGGGGGGCGGCAGAAGCCCCTGGGCTCTGCAGCAGGCCAGCTGCCCAACTTCCCAGGTGGCCAGGGATGGATCTCTCTCTCTCTCTCTCTCTCTCTCTCTCTCTCTCTCTCTCTCTCTCCCCTCAGTGAGCAGCTGGAGAAATCCTGGCCCACCCCCACCCCCACCACAGGCACCTGGGCCCCCTGTCGCCCCTGGCGGGGCTGTCAGACCAAATGGCTTCTCTCTGATCAGCCTCCTCAGGGCCTGAGGGTGGGTGCGGCCTCCTATAACCTCCTGACAAGCTGGGGGCCTCCTCCTGCTCCCGCCGGGGCTCTGAGTGATGAAGAGGCTTTTCCCGGCTCAGAATGGTGATTGCATCCATGAGGGCGACGCGGAAATCCATCATGATAATAAGACGTGCCGCAGGGCTGCAGAGGGCAGCTTCCTGCCGGCTGCAATCACTCTCAGGGCCACGGGGCTTGAATCTGTAATCAGCATCCCTCTCCAGAGCGCGGGAGTGCTGAGAAACGTGATTCATGGGCCCCGCTGTTCCTTCAGCGCCTGGGCTCTCTGCCACTACCCCCCCACCCCCGTTTCCCAGAGCTGCTGCCCTCCCCTGCCTGGTGCCCATGCAGAACTCAGCATAACTCTGATGGGCCTGGGCAGAGCCCACCACCCCCAGCACAGGCCCAAGGGGGTCAGAGGCCAGTAGTGTAGGGCGCCTGGCTGCCCCATCAGGGTATTTGGGCGTAGGCTGAGCTCTGATAGGGCGCTTGTCTTACACAAGACCGACCTGGGTTTGATCCCATATGCACCACCAGGAGTGGAGAACCTGGAGTAAGCCCTGAGCAAAAGTAAAGCGATGAGTCCAGTTGTGGCTGGCAGAGAGCCGGGCTGACTTCAGGTGCCCTGATGTGAGGTTCTTTATACAAGTTCAGCACCTAGGATCCTGTGCTAGGATCCTCCCCTGGATCCTATCCCGGGATCCCGCCTTGGGATCCTGTCCTGGGATCCTGTCCTGGGATCCTGACCTGGATCCTGTCCTGGGACCTGACCTGGATCCTGACCTGGTTCCTGACCTGGGTCCTGTCCTGTGATCCTGCCCTGGGATTCAAACCTGGATCCTGTCCTGCTCTGACTGTGGAGTAACTGTGGCCAAGAGCCTGGTTTTCTCCACCCTGGACTCCCCACTGGTCTGAGGGCTCTGTCAAAGTGGACTTAACACAACACACAAACCCTCACATCTGCATAAGTGACCAATGACTCAGGTTTCCCAGCCCCCTCTTAGCTGGCATGTGTCTCTCTGCAGAGGCGGGCACACATGCTTTCTCCCTCACTCCCAGCCCCAGGTCTGGTCCAGGCCCTGACATCCCACAGACACCAGGTTTTGTGTGTGTGTTTGTGTGTGCACACGTGTGCATGACTGCATGCATGCTAACAGGGGCAGATGCACACATACGCATGAACGATGTACACGCAAGAGCACATTTCATGCACACACATTCACGTATGAGGACACACTGTGTGTGTGCTCGTGGGCACATATGTGTGTGCAGCAGGCTTCATTCATCTCTGTCTTCCCCACGAAGACAAAGGCCCAATGTGGTGCAGGCGGGCCTGCCCTTCGTCATCCCTCACAATCAGCACATAATGAGCCTCCAATGAGTCCCCTGTGGTCACATACTGGCCAGGGGGTGGCCAGGCAATGGGGCATGAATGTAGGGACCAGATGACAAAGCAAGCATCCTGGGGAGGAGGGGAAGGGGGAGGCATGACTGCATCCCTGTGGCGAATGCCATAACTCATTTCTGACGTGGACACATTACTCCTTTCAAATGCTGCTCGCCCCCGGACACCGAGCTGCCAAGCTAATCGACAGGCATCTGCTGAGGTAGCGCCTGCAGAGCGGAAGCTCCGACCCCAGCAGGCCAGCCAGGGCGCCCTCATCTGTGAGGACAGAATGAACCCCTGCCAGGCCAGTGCTCGGTTTCCTGGGACCACAGCAGAGGATCCGTGAATGTGGATTAAGCCACAGGGCCCAGGGGAAAGATAGCATGGTCCATGCAGAGCACAGTCCAGGCTGGAAATGAGGGTAGAGTCCACGCCTCCAATCTCGGTAGTGAACAAACCCCGACGCCTGAGCCCCCTCCAGCCTGCACAGAGCCACGCAAGAGCTGGGCCTTCCCTGAGCCTGGGGCCTGCTGAGTCCGTCCCAGATCTGACCACAGGGCTCAGAGCTAGAGAGGGAGGTGGCACTACTGGCCAGTAGCCCCTGCAGGTGTTCGGTCCCCCATGCCTTCTCTTTAAAACTCTTCCCATTTCAGCAAAATGAAAGATTCTACATGAGTACTAACCACTTGGGCCCCTTTGGGGAGCCAAGTACTTTTGACCCCAAAAATCCTAGAGGAAAAAGCGGGTTCAAAGAACCGAAGTTGCTTCCCTCAGAAGTGGCTGAGGGGCCAGAGCGAGAGCACAGTGGGGAGGACGTTTGCCTTGCATACAGCATACCCAGGTTCGATCCTGGAACCCCATGTGGTCCCCCAAGAACCACCAGGAGTAATTCCTGAGTGCACAGCCAGGAGTAACCCCTGGGCATGATCGCACATGCCCCTAAAACCAGTAGCTAAAAACCAAACACAAAGGTATTCCAGAGTTAGAGGCCAGAGAGATAGGACTGCGGGAGAGGAGCTTGCATTGCACTCAGTCAACATGAGTTCAATCCCTGTCACCCCAAATGGTCTCTCGAACCCACCAGGAAGTGATCTCTGAGCACAGAGAAGTCAGTCCTGTGTTCCATTGGGTGTCCCAGAGTCAAGGGCCTGGACCGACAGATGTGGGAGCTCAGGTTCAGAAATGGCTCAGGCAGGGGCGGGCGGGAGCAGGGCAGTAAGGGAGGAAGGCTCAGCTTCTTTCCCAGCCAACTGTGACCAGAGCAACAACCAAGACAGTGGCTTCATTCCTGACTGCTCCCCCAGACCACCAAGCCTGTCCAGACATGCGCTCAGGCTTTCCCGCTCTTTCTCTGAGGCAAGAGATAAACTCAGTACTTTCTCTAGGAACCTCAGCTTCCTGCTGGGCAGTATGGGAGTGACCCTCCTCCCTGCTAGGGGCAGATGGTGGAGGATCCTGCTGTACGGCTGTTTTAGCTGAACCTGGCTCCCCACATCACTTCAGAAATGCTTTCAAGGGTTGGAGTGCTAGTACAGTGGGGAGGGTATTTGCCTTACTCGCGGCTGACCCGGGTTTGATCCCCCAAGTCCCATATGATCCCCTGAGCACCACTAGGAGTGATTCCTAAGTACAGAGCCAGGAGTAACCCCTGAGCATCGCATCGCCAGATGTGACCCACTGTAGGACTGCAGCACTGTCCTCCCATTGTTCATCGATTTGCTTGAGTGGGCACCAGTAACGTCTTCACTGTGAGTCTTGTTGTTACTGTTTTTGGCATATCAAACACACTACGGGGAGCTTGCCAGGCTCCGCCATGCAGGCAGAATACTCTCGGTAGCTCGCTGGGCTCTCTGAGAGGAACAGCGGAATCGAACCCGGGTCGGCCGCGAGCAAGGCAAATGCCCTACCTGCTATGCTATCACCCTAGCCCAGGTGTGACCCAAAATCTTTTTTAAAAAAGTGTTATAATGAGAGCTCCTGGGGCTTGCCCCAGATTGCTTGGGGTGAACATCTGCAGAAGACCCTGAAACTACAGCTGGGAGAGATCTGCAACCACAGGAAAGCAGAAGCAGTGAGTTCTCTTCCTGAGGCCCCCGTGTTCAGGAGAGGCAGCCCTCCTGCACTCCACCCTGGGCTGCCTTCTCTCTCTGGTCGAGCCCCTGCACCTGATCCCCATGGGGGGCTGCCCTTCTGGGCATCCTCCAGCCCAAACCTGTAGGAGACCGAGTTCCAGTGAGGTCACAGCCCCCAACACAGGGCCAGCTTAATTTAGGACCTCATATGAGGAGGTACAGCTGCTCCTGGCTCCACCGTTAGTGGGGACTGTCCACTCCCAAGAGCTGTGTCAGGCCACTCCACCAGGTTTACCAAGCACCCTGCTGTGACTCCTGTGCCACCAAGGAAGTCGGGCCATGTGGGCTGCCCCTGAAGACCGGTCTCTGTGAGGTGAGCTCTGGAGTACTGACAGGAGACACTGCATTCTGTGGAGTGTGACCCTTTGTGGGTCTTCACCTGTCCCATCCAAGCCAAGAGGGTTGAGACTACAATGTGGCCAAGGCTGGTGCTGATAGCCACTCACTGGACAGCACCTGGCACAGAAAACAAAACCAAACAACTGAAACAGGGGCTGGGCCCAGGGAGACCCAGTTCCCTAGTCCCCACTACCCCTCCCAGGCCAACACTGATTGCCCTGGGCGCTCGCTGCTAGCTTGTAGGAATAACAGCTATGAATCTTCAGTTCATATTCCTGAGCCCCCAAAGACTGTGGCGTCCCATCTGCCTGACTGGAGAATTGGGGACCCCTGCACCCACCCTGGGCACGCCGTCCCTTGCATCTGACCCAGAGCAATGTCTGAGATTCTCCTTCCCCAGAGCAGCTACAACCATGCATGACCCTCTCCGGCCTGGGAGCAGAGTCTGTACTTGAACTATACCAGGCACTTGGGACACTCCAGAGGCACTTAGCATGCTAGAGCCCTGGGTCGACGGCCGGCCTCCCCAGGTTTACAGGCGACTAGGAAGGAGTGGGGGGCTGCTTTAGAGACCAGGCCCAGGTCCTCAGCAGGCGGTGACTGCCACCCTCTGGCCATCAGGGGGAAAGCTGGTCAATGCTGGGAAGGAGGGGGCTGCAGGGCGGGCCCTCGTGCTTCCAGATTGACTGCCCGGTCGCACGTAGTCTTCCTCTCCCCACGAGCCATCCCCCAGGCCCTGCCTCCACCTCCACGGAGTGGCCTGTGGGCACCGCGCGTGCTGGCAGCGCTGCCCCTCGGGGACTGTCTGTAGGGCACGAGGCAGACCAGGCGGTGTTGCAGGGGCAGCGTGAGAGCTGACCCTGGGAGACCCAGTCCAGAGAAGGGTCCGGGGTCACGGTGCTGGACCGAGGACAGCGTCTGCGAGGCCCAGTGGGGATGTCCGGCTTGGTCAAAGTCTATTTGGGGTCTTGGAGGGCCCCGCGCAAGGCAGAGCCCCTTCGCTCCGCACCCCGGTGCGAAGTCCACTCGGGTCCACCGACAGGGGCGGAGGCCGGGTCGACCCTGTGCGGCTCCTTCCCACTGGCCGCCACGGCCCCGCTCGTCCTCTCCCGAGCCCTCCCGAGCTTTCCCGAGCTCTCCCGAGCCCCCCCCACCAGCCTTCCCGAGCCCTCCCGAGTCCCCCCGAGCATTCCCGAACCCTTCCGAACCCTTCCGTCCCCTCCCGAGCCCGCACTCCCCCCCACCCCCCAGCGCCGAGCATTCCCGATCCCTCCCGGGGGCGGCGGCGACTCGAGGACTCGCCGCGGGACCGAGGCGGGAGGCGGAGTCGGCGGCGGCACGGAGGCCACGCCTTCCGTGTCGTCATCGTCGCGCGCCGCGAGGCCAGCGGCGTGACGTCGGCGGCGCGACGGCGACGGCGACGGCGAGCGGCGCCCATCGGAGGCAGAGGAGGCGGTGAGTGTCGCTGGGGCGGCCCTCGGGGGTCGCCGGCGCCGAGTGCTGGGCCGCGGTGCGTGGCCGAGGCGTCCGAGGTGGCTGCGGGACACTGTCCCCCCGCAGGTAGCACGGAGGGCGGACAGCAGCCCCGACACGGCCTGGGTGCGGAGGGAGGGCGTCACGTCATCGCCGGGTCAGGGACCCCCGTCCACCCCAGTGATGGTGACCCCTTAACTCAAGCCGCCGGTGTTTCCACAGAACGTTTCGACCCGTAGCCCTGCGCCCGCAGTTAAGGAAATGACCAACCAGGTAAGCGTCGTGGCGGGGGACAGCTAGGATCTGGTTCCTTAAGGGACCCTGGACGCACTGGGCGGTCCCAGCCAGTGAGATTCAGGACAGTAGAGGAGGGGCTGGGGCGATAGTCCAGCGGGGAGGGCGTTTGCCTTGCACCCAGCCAACCTGAGTTCTGATCCCCGGCATCCCGTATGGTCCCCCAAGCACCTCCGGGAGTAATTCCCGAGTGCAGAGCCAGGAGGAACCCTTGAGTATTGCTGGGTGTGACCCGAAAAAGCAAAAAAGGACAGTAGAGGAGGAGGATTTTATCCAGGTCTCCAGCCTTGTTTTGTGCTTGGCGATGTTGGGCGTTGGACCCAGATCTCTGGCTGGCAAGGCCTGCGTTTTCCAGCTGAGCCCCACCCCCAGCCTTTGAGCTAAGGCTTTGCCAGCCTGCAGAGGGATCTTTCAAAGGGAACGGTAAAGAAAGTTCATACGCCAAAAAGAGAAAAGACCGAGAACTCAGAAAAGGAGAAGCTTAACGTTTGTAAGATTAGAAACAGAGTTCGCAGTTTGAACATCTTGTGCTTGTATACAGCGCCATGCTAGACTGGCTTCTTCTTGGAGACCAGAGCAGAAAAAGAAAACACATTATCAGTGGACAGGAAGGGAGAGAGATCATTTTCCCTTGGGACAGTGTTCTTTCAGGAATCGGAGAAGGTCTGGGTGTTGGGCCAGTGACGGGAGTGGCCAGCACTACAGCGATGATCTCTTGGGGACTGGGTTTGCGTGGGTTGGATGAGGGATTAAATCTGCCCGTTGGTCTAACGTGTCCCTGTTCTTTTTTCAGTACAGCATTCTCTTCAAGCAAGAGCAAGGTGAGCCACCTGCCTGATGGCACTTACCTGTGGGAGCTGTGCTACCTCTGGAGCGATAGTACTGCGGGGAGGAATGCCTTAGAGCATTTGTCCTGCTGACCAGGGCTCCCCACTCTGTGGGAGAACCGGCTCCCTGCAGTGCTCAGGGAACCCTGTGGTGCTGGGGAGAGAAACTGGGCCTCCAAAGGCAAAGCCTGGCCCAGCCCTTTGAACACTCACTCTTGCCTGATTCTGATTTAGCACACGAGGATGCCATCTGGTCAGTCGCATGGGGGGCGAACAAGAAAGAATTCTCTGATACGGTGGTCACAGGATCTCTGGATGACCTAGTAAAGGTCTGGAAATGGTGAGTGCCCCTTCCTAATGGACAACCTTGGGAACGGGGTTCCCAACTTGTCTTGGCCAGAGAGCAGCCACAGTGTGATAGGGGAAAGGCACTTTAGTTTTTGGGTCACACCCAGCATTGCTCCTGGCTCTATACTCAGGGATCACCCCTGGCAGTGTTCAGAGACCACATGGGATGCCAGGAGTTGAGCCCCTCTCAGATGCGTGTAAGGCCAGCACCTCACCTGTACTATCGCTCTGACCCCCTCAGAGTCTAAATTTTAAAAAAGTGTCCTTCTTGGCTCCTCCTTGGCTGCCCAGGGTGTCCATGTCTCTTGCTCTCCTCTGCTTCTATCACTGTTGGTAACAGTCCCTGGGGCCCAGAGTTCTGAGTGCCAGGTGCAGTGTGTTGTTTGTAAAGAAACACCCTTGTCTGTCCCCCACTGAAGGCGTGATGAAAGACTGGAACTGCAGTGGAGCTTGGAGGGACATCAGCTGGGTGTGGTGTCTGTGGACATCAGCCACACACTCCCCATCGCTGCTTCCAGCTCTCTTGATGCTCATATTCGTCTGTGGGACTTGGAAAATGGCAAGCAGATAAAGTCTATAGATGCAGGTCCAGGTAAGGCTTTCACTCTCGGGAGATGTCGGATTCAAAATCCCTATACAGAACCTTTGTTCAAGGGTAACTGCTGAAGGCCGGGGAGTGCGCGTGCCTCACACATAGCCCATGTGGGGTCAGTTCCTGGCATCCTGTTTGGTCCCCTGAGTTTACCAGGAGTGACCCCTGATCCCAGAGTCAGTAGTCAATCCTGAGTACAGCTGGTGTGACCCTAAAACGAAAAATAAAGGGGCTGGGGGGGGTGGGAGATAACTTAGAAATTTTAACACACACTCAGTAATTTGTTTTGTTTGGGGCCACACCTGGTGATGCTCAGGTCTTACTCCTGATTCTGCACTGAGGAATTAATCCTGACAGTGCTCGGGGGACCATATGGAATGTTGGGGATCGAATTCACGTCAGCTGCATACAAGGCAAGCACCTTACCTGTTGTACTTGTGCTGTCTCTCAGTACTTAATTCATTGCTTAACTCTTAGGAACTGTTTCTTAAACCTCAAAAGTTCTCAGCTTGAGAATGGAGACAGAACTCGATAGAAATTTTGGTACCATGTGTGCTTCAGCGAACAAATGGTCGTCATGTCTCACGTGGCTGCAGGGCTCGTGTTCACGAGCGAGCAGGGTTCTCGTTTCTTCGCATCCTTGTTCATATGCAGCGTAGTTCTCGCCATCTGTTTTTATTTGTTTTTAAAAAGCCCCTTAAACCAAATTAGTCCAGAATTAGCATTGTTAACAATGTAGATTTTTCCATATCAGGATACTGTTTCTCCGATTAAAGTTTGGCAAACCTTTTCGATCAAGGTTTTTTTCTCACTGTATCTTTTTCTTTCTTCTTTTCTGTTCAGTGGATGCCTGGACCTTGGCCTTTTCTCCTGATTCCCAGTATCTAGCCACAGGAACTCACGTGGGGAAAGTGAACATTTTTGGCGTGGAAAGTGGGAAAAAGGAATATTCTTTGGACACGAGAGGAAAATTCATTCTTAGCATTGCCTATGTAAGGAAACACTGTTTCTCCTTTGGCCCCTCTAGACTGTTGTATCTCGGGGTGCAGGTTCTACACTTGGCTGGCCGGGCAGCTGTTCTCTTGCCTGCCTGTCACCCCATAAGCCTGCAGAGACTTGTTTGTACTTGGTGGAGATGGTTGGGGGTCTGGAGTCTGAAAGGCCGTGTTTGTGCTTGCGCAGAGCCCCGATGGGAAGTATCTGGCCAGCGGAGCCATTGACGGAATCATCAATATTTTTGACATCGCGACTGGAAAACTTCTGCATACGCTGGAAGGTTTGGCTCCTCCTTTCATTTTATGAAAACTGGGTTAACAGGAAGAACTATCCGTGCATTCAAAAGCTAGTGAGTGTCAGACTTGCAAAAGACCTGTTGTCCCCAAGATGTGATGAGTATAGTTCCAACCTCCACATGTTTTGTTCTTGTGCCTGTGATTCGCATCCTGGGTGAATAGACTTTAATTTCCTGTTCCTGTGTCTTAGCTCTGGTGGTTTTCTTCTAGACCTCGACAACGGGAAAGACCTGGGTCTGCCCTGGTAGCCTGTGCTGTTTCTCATTCAAACCAGCGACTGAGTCGCAAGCCTCCATCATAAGGCCTATGCTCACTCGAAAGAAGCGAGACAGACTTCTGTAGCCTTGTCTGTTGCAGAGGGTTCTTTTCTGGGCAACATGTGCCAAGGTCCACTGTGTCAGGAGGCGAACATTAAAAGGGGCCTTCGGTGCCCTCCTCTGCCAGAATCACCAGGCAGAGCTGTCGGTGGCTGCTGCCAGCTCGTGGGTGCCTCGGGGGACACAGTTGCACTGGACAAAAAGGGTGTCATGCATTTCAGGCCACGCTATGCCCATTCGCTCCCTGACTTTCTCCCCGGACTCCCAGCTTCTTGTCACCGCTTCTGACGATGGCTACATCAAAATCTATGACGTGTAAGTGACCTCTGGTCCTCAGGGGCCCTCCATGGCCTCACGGGCCTGCTCTCCCCTCCTGGGTGACTGCAGGGGCATCCAGCAGGCCGGACCCACACCTTCTGCACCCAGTCCTGGAGGGGAGCATGTAGGGAGCCCGGCTGGCCCTTGCAGGCACCATCTCCTGTGTGGGTGATTGGGAGATGCTGGCGTGGGGCCAGTGGCTGCAGCCTACCCAGAGCAGTGGGAAAAGGATGGAGCATGTGTGTTCTCGGGCAGGGCTGTCCCCGGGAGGAGCAGGAGTCAGGAATGAGCATGACGGGTCTGGCACCCTCTCAGAGCCGAGGACAGTGACTGATTACCTCAAGACCCTCCAGAGACCATTCCATGGCACCTTCTCAGAAGGAACGCGGCTCCACCACTGAGCCCAGCCGCTTCCTGCCAGCTCACAGACAAGTCTCTGTATACTTCCTCGGCCTTCAGCCCCTCTGCTGCTGGGGCCAGGGCCCAACACAGCCCACTGAGCCTCTGATGTGTGTCCCCCTCCAGCCCCAGCTCTCACCACTACAAGATGCATATGGATTGATGGTGCTGCTGGAGATGGGATGCTGGTGGGGGCCATGTGTCTCCTAGTCCACTGGAGAGCTCGGAGCATCTGTGTGTTAACTGGAAGCATTTTTCTCTCAGACAGCACGCCAGCCTGGCCGGCACGCTGAGTGGCCATGCGTCGTGGGTGCTGAACGTGGCCTTCTGTCCTGATGACACGCACTTTGTTTCCAGGTACTTGTGACCCTGAGCGGCCCCCATGGGCTGGGGAGGGAGTGCCCCTCGCTGCAGGCCCCTCAGGCTCCTGGTTGTGGCCCTTCCTTCTCAGGGAGCATTTGTTTTCTGCAGCAGTTTTGAAATGTCTAATAGAGTTATCCTTGGTCGGGACAAAAATAGAGGCATGTACCAGTTACATGCCTTCCTGAACTCCTTCCTGAACTCCCTGCTGCATTCAGTACTCTGGGGGACATATGTATTCCAGAACTGACTTACACTGTCACACTATTGGTCAGGTGGAATGTTTTTAGACTTCAGTGCTGTCCAGGCTCAGGCTGGCTTCAACATTTGGAAACATGAAATGGACAGCCCAGCAGCACTGCCCACGAGCCCAGAGACCTCTGAACAGTCATTGGAAGCTGTAATAGCTTCCCTGTTAAATAGGTGGGAGACACACCCAACTGGGGTTCTCTGCTTGCTGGTGAGGGGATGGCCAGTCTCGGGAATGCAGGCACCCGGAGGCTCTGAAGGTGGAGTCACAGGTGAAATGGGATTGAGTTTTACATAAGATTCCTGCCACCTTTAGGATAGCAAGAGGGCGCTTGTCTTGTACACGGCCAACCCAGAGTTGATTCCCCAACACCCCAGAGTCCCAAAACCCACCAACATCACAGGGTGACAGAAAAATGTACAAAATATTCCAAGTGATCTGAAAACAGCATCGAATAAGTTGTCTTCCACAGTTCATCTGACAAGAGCGTCAAAGTGTGGGACGTGGGGACGAGGACCTGCATCCACACCTTCTTTGACCACCAGGACCAGGTAGGCGCCACTGAGTCTCTGGGCATCTGGTCTGAGACTTGTCTTCTCACCTCTTCCCTGTGCGCGTGCGCGAGCGCACGCTCACACACACACACACACGCACTCTTACCCCATGCACGCACACACGTCCCCCCACCATGTGCCTCCCCATGCTCACACACATAGACACACCCCACAATGCTGGGACTGGACTCCAGCCCCCCCGCAGCCCCCTATCCCCCCACTGGCTAGAGAGGGGAAGGGCACTGCTGCATTTGGGGAAATGCTGGGGTACACCTCCTCTTTTTTAAGTTACTTCCTATGAAGGTGAGAGGGTTTAATCTTGCTTTCTTGGATGTTTTGTATTTTCTTTTTCGAGGGGGAGGGGACAATCCTACCTAGCTGTCCTGTGCAGGCATGAGATTCAGCACTGAGCGGCATTAACCGTGACAGGCCAGTCCTTCCTTGGGGAAGAGGCTTGCATGGCAGAACCCCCTCCCCCACAGACTGGGTGAGGGTGACAGGCTGGCCTCCTGAGCCTCTGGTGACATGACCGTTCTCAAGGGAAGGGGGGGATGCACAGTCTGCCACTGGCTCTAGCAGGGACCTCCTGTGGCTGTGGGTCTCCAGCCAACCGGGCAGTTCTGGGGCTTCGGTCGTCGCTTGGCACACTCGCCGTGTAGAAATGAGGCTTTCAGGGGGGCGGGCAGCAGGGCCTGTTCTCAGGGGTCCAGGACGTGGCACAGCAGCACCGGTCGTGCCTGGGTGTGGGGTGGAGTGAAGAGGCCCGTTCACGCGACTCAAAGCCTCCAGAGAACCTTCCCCCCTTTTCCCTTATCCACAGGTCTGGGGAGTCAGATACAACGGGAACGGCTCCAAGATCGTTTCCGTCGGAGATGACCAGGAGATCCACATCTATGACTGTCCAATTTAAGTGTCACAATCTCCAGGCCATGCTCTGGAGAGAGTGCAGATGCGAGCGACCGGGCCATCCCTCACTGGAGGGCTTATGTAGAAGAAGTAGTCTGAGGGTGGCAGCCAAGACTGAATTTTTCTAGATCTAACATGCAGTTTCTTATGTCTTACTGGAAACACTGTTCACACGTGTACATAAACATGTTCTTATTGCGGACCCCTGGGTTTGGGCACCTGCTACTTTGACCGTGTTTGCGGGAGGCCTGAAGGGCCGCCAGGGCTGCATAGGACACCGGGTGCTCGGGGAGTCTTGAGGCTGGAAGTCCAGGCCCTGTCCTCCAGGGTGTGCCTGCGGAAGCGCTCACCCTGCTGATGGCGTGTTAGAGGTGTACAGTCTACCAAGCTGAGCCCGCTCAGCGGTCTCTGGGGTTCTGGGTGGGTATCACCACTTCAACTATGTCAGACTCCAGCACGGCATCTGGCATCCCTGTCTGTCCATAGTACCTGGCCAGCAGCCTCTTGGACCCTCTGCTGAGGTGGTTCTGGCTGACAGCCTGAGGCCAGTTGCTTGGTGATGACCACCTGGATCCAGGGCTCCTCCAGACTCCCCAGCCACCTCCTTGGGCGGGCTGTGGCCATCAGATCCTCCTGCCTTCTTGTGTCACCCTCAGACACAGCCTGGCTATGGGCGCTACCGGGATGTTTCTTCCTCAGCTCGAAATCCAGGGAGCCGCTCGGAGGTCAGGGGAGGCCGCCCCATTCCTGCCGCCTCCTTCCTCTCATCCTATAGCAAGTGGTCCTGCCCAAGCAGCACAGGCCGCCATGGGCCCCATCAGCTGAGCTTGAGGACAAGCAATGCACAGCGTGACTCAATTGTACCAGCTGGGTTTTAATGTTAAAGTGACAGGCACCGAGGAAGTACAATCCAAGCCACACTCCCAATCTCTGGTCACAGTGGGAGCAAGGGGGAGGAGCTGGTGCCATTCTGTCCCTCAGGGGTCTTGGCAGGGGGCTTACCACTAGCCTGAGCAGTGGGCACAGTGGATGTGTCTGCCACCTGGAGAAGTGGTGCCTGCCAGCAGGGAGGCCCTCCAGCAGCTGCCTGACAGACCCTGACTCAGGCATGAGAGAATCCAGCAGACCGCTAGGGCATTGTCCCGGGCCTGCTACAAGGCACACAGACCCAGGGTGTCCCCAGCATGCCCCCAGTTTTGCTCTGTGCCCCCTCAGACCAGCCCCTTGGTGAACTCGGTCGCCAGAGCCTGTCTGGAGCTGGTGGCCCTTTGCATTGTGGCCGTGGGCAGCAGGCAGCACTGAGCTCTATACCTGCCCACACTGCCAGTCCAGCAGTATCTCCAGCCACTCAGCGGCACTGGGTTGCTAGGGCAGGTCCCTCTACAATCAGGCACTTGTGTGGAGAGTCATTGCACACAGACCCAGGAGAACGCAGATGGTCAGCCTGTCACTAGGGGTCCCCACCGCAAGGCCTGAAGGGCTCCAGACATGCCATGTACCAGGGCAGGTACCTGGGGCATGTGAAAACGGGCTGCAGCCAAAGCTGGTCCACAGAAGTGCTGTGTTCCGTGGGAGGGTCCCCTAAATGCCTTGCAGCCATAGGGTCTCCCTGGGGCTGGGGCACCCCAAAATCCGCGTGGTGCTGAGCCCTTCTCAGGCCATGCTTGGCTGGCAAACTGGAATCCGAAGGGCCCCTGAGAAGGAACAGATTCCGCACGCAAACAGAAGGGACTGGCGACACTTCGACATTTGCATATAAATTAAACTATAACTGAGTCACAACCAGAAGGAAGCCAGAAGGGCCGCCCGGGCCGGCCGTCGCCATCACGCCGTCTGGCACTGCACCCCGGTGCGCGGCCCGTCCTCGTCCTCCTCGTACGCCTCCCGGTGCTGCCGCCAGCTCTGCTCGCTCGGGTCAAACTCCTTCAGCTCCACCTGCTCCATGTCCTCCGACACCCTCACTTCTTGCCGCGGGGGCAGCAGCGCTTCCAGCTGAGGGAGCTTGTCCACAGGCAGCCAGTGCTTGTCAGGGAAGACCACCTACCAGCAAGCCGGGGGCGGTGTCTCCCCTCAGGACACGCCACTGGGAACACCCTGCCACCTGCCCCCTCCGCCACTCCGCGTGCCACCTACCAGGAACTGAATGATGAGGATCCCTTTCTCCAGGGGTGCCTTGTAGACGGGCATGCCCTCATCGCGCACGCATTTCAGGTCTCCGTGCCTCACCACCTCACCTGCCGCCGGGAGCAGGAGTCAGCACTGGGGCCCCCAGGCTTGGAGGTGCTGCCGAGGAAGGGCCCCCAGGGAGGGGGTTGGGGAGCGCCTAGTCTCGAAGTCTGGCTCATGGCCACCTGCCTCTTCGTTTTCACCTCCCCGGTGACCAAGTTGGGTGGCAGAGCGGAGATGAAAAGGCCCCCCAGGGTTCCAGCCCCCAACCCCTCACGGAGGACACAGCACAGCCTGTGGTCCTGGGCCCACCCCGAGTCTAAAATGCTTTTTGCCTCCAAACATGAAAAGCAAAGGGACGAGGACCTGTCCCAGAAGTGGGCTTATACTGCAAATGCAGGAAGGACGGGGCAGGTGCTGGTCCTCCCAGGGGACCTCGCCTACAGACGGTCCCATCTCTCAGATGGTTCCAGTTGGGGGCAGGGGTTCTGTGCCTTCGCCTCTCTGCTTTGCCCAGGGATCACGCTCCAGCATAAGCCTCATTTCTCTGGTTCCACTTGGGCTGAGTATGTGGCTGGCCCACCTGGGTGGACAGTGTCCGGGCCTTGCAGCCAGCACTGCTGTGTCCCTGCTCAGGGACTCCTGGTGAGGGCAGCAGCAGGTGGGGACTGGCTCTCCTTGCAGGCTCCCCTCTCTGTCTGGATCACTTGAAATCATCCCCAACTTGCAATTTTAGAAAACACTGATGAGAGCTGTGAGTCTAAGGCAGTTTTCACTGTGCCAGAGAAGGGAGAGGCAGAGGACCGAGGAAGGAAACCAAGGAAGACAGACTGGGGAGCAGCAAGTGAGCACAGGGAGGAGGGGAAGGGAGGCTGGAACATAGGAGGGGGAGAGGGACCAGAGGAGGGGTCTGGAGAAGGTCAGGCAGCTGGAGACAGGTCCTCCCTGGGCCCGAGATGCTCGTTGCCCTGTGGTCACCCACCCGCCTGAGCTGACCTGCCCCTCTGGAGCACGCAAACACGAGCGTCACCTGATCTGGACGTGATGACGAGGGTCCGCTCATCCAGAGTCTTGATGGTCTTCTTGAAGCCACAGAGAGCCTCAGAGAGCTGGATTTTCATCTTCATGATCAGATCGTGGCCGCGTCTCTGAAAGACACCGTGGTCCTTCAAGTCCAGCACGATGATGACATCCCCAGGCTCCAGCTCTGGCTCCTGGTCGCCTTCTCCATGGAACAGGATCTTCTGCCCGTCTTTCATGCCTGTGGGACATCAGCCCTTGCAGCCATGGCTCAGCCACATGCACCCCCAGCCTGGCCCCGCTGCCTCACCTTTCTCCACATGCACCTCGATGACCTTTTTCTCGTGGACCACTTTGGCGCCCAGGCAGCTCTCGCAGCGGTCCTTGGGGCTGATGCACTCGCCCTGGCCCTTGCACTCGATGCACACGGTCTGGATCTGCTGCACCATGCCCGGCCCGATCTGCTGGATGTGCACCTGCACACCCCGCCCCTTGCACAGTGGACACTTCTCCACCGACCCCTTCTTCCCGCCGATGCCTGCAGGGAGGCACAGCGTCAGACGCACGCCGGACAAACCCTGGGAGTAGCTAAGTGGCAGCAACTGGGTCTTCACGGACTGTCTCAGACTGACCACTGGGGGCTGTGCTTGGAAATGCACCCAAGTTTCCAGAAGGACTGGGGGGAGGAGCTGGGAGTCAAGTTCAAGGCCAAGGGGACCCGCTGGCCACCCTCTGAGGCCAGCATTGGTCTTGAGTCACCAAATCTGACACTCACTGTGTCATATCTCTGTCCCTCCGGCTTTCTCTCTCTGTTTCTTCTCTCCTCTCTCCTCTCCTCTCTCTTGCTCTGTCTCTGTCTCTATGTCTCTGTCTCTCTTCTCTCCCTCCTCTCCTTGTTCTGGGCCACACCCAAGGTTTCCTTGTGAGCCACGTTATTACAGGGAATGAATTGGGGTTCCCCCATCGAAGCACATGCTCCATCCCGCTGGACATCACCCCAACCCCAGAGTTGACTAAGAAACTCAGAGAGGTCACAAAGAGCTTGTGACCCAAACTCTGTGACATTGTGGGGCCAGAGCGGAAAGGCAATGGGGAGGGTGCTCACCTTGCATGCAGCCAACACGGGCTCCATCCCTGGCATCCCATCCCCCAAGCATCACCAGGAGTAATTCCTGAGCGCAGAGCCAGGGGTAAGCCCTGAGCACCGCCAGGTGTGTGGCCTGACCCCCCACCAAGAAAAAAAGAGTCAAAGACATTCACATCAGGACTGCCAGCTGCCGCTCCTGGCTGGGCCTCCTGACTGCCCAGTCTGCCATGACCCCAGAGCCCAAGCAGGGCTTTCAGGCCGAGGCCACTGAGATGTCGCCTCTCTTCCACTAGAATATTTCTCTGGCAATGCTTGGAGAGCCTGTAGCATCAGGGGCAGAACCCACGGCCCTGCCTGTCCTCTGAGCACCCCCAGGGTCTAATATTAACTGTGCGGCCAGATGGGGGACAACCCAGATGCCAGATAAAGCACAGAGTCCAGATCACCCGCTGACCCTCTCTGGTGGACCCTCCCAGTTCAGGTTTTCCTTCAGCATCAGTTTCAGGGTCTCAGGTCTAAGGGGACGAAACTGGGGTTCAGCAAACAAGTCACCTTCGCATTTCTCGCAGATCACATTCTTCTGGAGGGACAGTTTCTTTGTGGTGCCGTTGTACAAATCTTCCAGAGTCACAGACAACTGGTGCACGACATTCTTGCCTGAGCAAGGGAGAAGCCAACATCTGAGGCCCAGCCAGGCCCTCCCGCCTGCCCACATGCCTGCTAGCACCCCTCTGCACTGTCAGCTGACTGAGGGTCACAGCTTGCTATGTCCTGGCCTCTCCCTGATGACAAGAGTTTCCCTCTTAAGGTGCTCAATGCTCTTTTTGGTTTTTTGGTTTTTGGGGCCACAAAAAAACAGGGCTTACTCCTGGATCTTCACTCAGGGATCATTCTTGGTGGGGCTCAAGGGACCCCATGAGATGCCAGGGACTGGATATAGGTCCATGTGCAAACCCAGCCCCCAGGGGTGCTTAGTCTGGCTGACACAGCAGGATGGCCGCACCTCAAGGAGCAGGAGCAAAGTAGGCAGCATGACAGGGGGGCGACCCCAGGGCCAGGGCCAGTCTGTCATACTCCCTGCCAGCTCTGCTGCCTGGCGGAGGAGGTGCACGAAGTTCTTCACATGGCAAGAGACACAGGGAGTGCCCAGAGCAGGCCAGGGAGGCCCTATGCTGTGAGGCCACACCAGAAACCAGGCGTGGGATGCAGACCCTGCTCAGAGCCACAGCTCTGGTGGTGCACAGGCATCTCAAGTGAGCTGGGACAAGCCACTGATCGTTCAACCCAGACCCTCCGCTCCCTGCCCACAGCCACTGGCCCAGCCTGTGGGTGGGCAGGAGTCTGGGAAGCCTGGAGGCGTGACTGTGACAGACTAGTGAAGCTGATGGTCCCCAGCGTGACGACGGTGCCTTTCAGGTCCCAAAGACGTGGACAGCACGGCAGCCGCACGCTTCTCAGGCCACGGGGGCGCATACCTCTCCTCTCCCGCGCCATCCGCCCTCCACCTCCAAAGAACATGTCGAAGATGTCCATGGGCGAGGAGAAACTGGGGCTGCCTGACGTCCCCTCCTTGATCGCCTGCTCGCCGCCCTGGTCATAAATGTCCCGTTTCTTCGGGTCTGAAAGCACTTCATAGGCCTGAGAGATGAGCTTGAACTTGAAAAGGAACAAAGATGAGAATAAGCTGGAGAGCCCACGTCACTCTCGGGAGTCAGGATCTCCCGGTCACGCAGGAGGCAAGGCCCCACCAGCCTGCCGCCCTGCATTCCCCTGCCACCCAGCCCATGCCAGCAAGTCCTCTGCTGCCCCCTCATGGTCTCTCCTGCCCATACCGGCACTGTGGCTACTGAGGGGACAGCAGGGAAGGCCTTGCACAGGAGGACACAAGAAAGAAGACGGCATTTTCCCTTCAGCTGAACCACAGCCCAATGAAAGCCGAGAGGTCCCCTGGGACACCTGTGCTCACCAAGGCGGCAGGTAACAGAACCAAAGTGGCCTGAACACCAGAACCAGAGTGGTCTGAGGCTGGGGGATGGGGAGGCCCACTTCTCTAAAATGGTGGACAGATATTCAAGATAATGCAGCACCAAAAAAATACCCCAGATCCACCTTGCTCCCCCGCCTCCATGCCACAGCCAGTAGTCCCCTCTGCAGGGCCAACTCTGACCTCCTCATGGACCCCCATCTCTGCCCTGACCCTGTGTACCAGGTCCCACGTGTCCCAGGGCCCTCAGTACAAACTGTTCCCCGTCACTTCTCTAACCTCCAAGCCCCACACATCATCACACTTGGATTTGAAGGACAGGGTTGACTGTCTCTGTCCCCTGCATGATCCCAAAGCCTGGGATGGGAGCAAAGTGGACACTTCTTGCACCGATGACCCGGGCCTTGTGGAGCCCAAGTACTGTGGATGTGATCTTATTGAGCCTTGAGTCAAATGACTGGATTCAGTCATTGGAAAGAAGCTCTGAGTGCTTGCCTTACTTGTGTGAGACCCTGGGTTTGATCCCCACCACTGCAGGGTCCCCTGAGCACTGGGCTGGGAGTAGCTCCCTAGCACTGCTGAATGTGGCCCCAGATCAAACCTACACAAGTGGGGCAGGAGTGATAACACAGCGGAGAGGGTGTTTGCCTTGCACGCAGCCAACCTGGGTTCAATCCCCAGCATCCCATATGGTCCCCCGAGCACTGCCATGAGTAATTCCTGAATGCAGAGTGCAGAGCCAGAACCCTGAGCTTTGCTGGGTGTGACCCAAAAAAAATTTTTTTTTAATTTAAAAGAACTATGTCATACTTCAAAGAGAGAGATCGAACACCTCTGAAATTCATATGGAACAATAACCCTTTCCCCCAAAAGCCAAATCAATCCTTGGGGAAAAGACGGGAGGCATTTCCACAACTTCAAACTGTACTGCACAAACCACAATGCACAAAAGGAAAAGGAGAGAGAGCGAGCAAAAGGAAAGTGCCTCCCGTAGAGGGAGGCTGAGGGTGGAGGGCGGGGTGTTGGGGGATGGTGGGAGGGAAACAGGGACGTTGGTGGTAAGGAAATCGATACTGGTGGAGAGATGGGTGCTGGGTCATTGTATGACTGAAACCCAATTATGAACAGCTTTGCAATAGTAGTCTATCTCAAGGGTAATCAGTTAAAAATTTATTTTAAAGTAATGTGGAGTTCATGCCCAATTCAATCAGCATAATCAAGGGCTGAATAAATAGCAGTACTCCTACATTTTAAAAAAACTGTACTGCACAGTGCTGGTAATTAAAGCAGTGTGGGACGGGGACAAGGACAGGCCCTTAGATCAATGAAACAGAATTGAAAATCCAGAGACAGACCCTCAGGTATATGGACAGCTAATCTCAGATAAAGGTGCAAAAAGTATCAAGTTGAGCAGGAGAGCTGCATGTATGAGTGGTGGTGCTAATCACACGCAAAAAAAGAACAAGAACTCAGAGGGACTGGGGTGATAGTACAGTGGGGAGGGTGCTTCCCTTGCATGTGGCCGATGTGGGTTCTATCCCTGGCATTCCAATAAGGTCCCCCAAGCACCACCAGGAGTGACTGCTGAGTGCAGAGCCAGGAGTAAATCCTGAGCCCTGCCAGGTGTGCTTCTCCTTCCCCCAAAAATAGAAAGAAAAAAACTCAGACCTCTTTCAAATTAAAATGGATTAAAGACCTCAATATTAGACTTGAATCCATAAGGAACACAGGGGAAAACATAGAACTCTCTGTGACACTGAAGCTAGAGGCATCTTCAAGGATGAAACACCACTGACCAAACAAGTGGAAGCAAAGGTAAACAACTAGACTACCCTAACTTAAGAAGTTGCCACACCCCAAAGGAAACGGTGACCAGGGTAGACACTTCCCAGACTGGGAGAAAAAATTTGACCCCCCACCCCATTCATCTGATAAAGGGTTTAGATGTGGGGCTGGAGCGATAGTACAGCAGGTAGGGTGTTTGTCCTGCATGCAGCCAACCTGGGTTCAATCCCTGGCATCCCATATGGTTCCCTGAGCACCGCCAGGAGTGATTCCTGAGTGCAGAGCCAGGAGTGACCCCTGAGCATCGATGGTTGTGACCCATAAAGCCAAAAAAGAAGGGTTTAGATGCAAGATATATAAAGCACTGGGAGAACTTTACAAGAAAAAAGTCCAACCCCATCAAAAAATGGGGAGCAGACCCCCCAACCTAGGTCCTGCTAGAAGCCCCCTCAGCTACACCGCACTCCCACTGTCTCTGCCACATGAACTGTCTAGCTTCATCGCTTCACGGCAAATCTTGGAAGAGACACCAAGGTGACAAGGATCGCAGGCACGCCAGCCATGGACTGAAGAGACTGGTCCCCTTGGATGACCGAGAATTATCACGGTTCTACTCTCCTGGAGCTACCGGAATTCCACAATGCTGACAGCTCAGCAGAACCGCAAATGAGCAAATGAGGTCGGAAAATTTGCATAGACGACAATAAGCAAAAACCATAACATGAAAGTGTTCCACTCACACCAAACTGCACCGGAAACCCTCAAAGAAATTTGTGAGATATAACAATTCTCACAAATTTTCTTTCACTGAGCTACTTTTGATACTATTTACCATTTTATTATAACAAGCACATAAAAATAAATTATTTATTTCCAACATCCCATAGATCCCTCAAGCCCTGCCAGGAAATACCCCTGAACACAGAGACAGGAAGTCTTGAACACCTCTGGGTGTGACCCAAAAACAAAAAAGGGGGATGGCCAATAATGCAGTAATGGGCCATGAGAAAGAGCAAATGACTGTTTGCCCATTTGCTGCTCTGTGAACAGATCTGGAGAGCATCATGCAGAGTGAAGCCAGCCAGAGGGAGAGGGACAGACACTGAATGAATGGTCTCTCTCACATTTGGGATATAATAACGTCCAAAGGCAAGAGAAAGAGAGAGGATGAGAACTGGTTTCCAGTAGGAAGATCGCCCTTGGGATGAAGGGTCGGAAAAGAGACCGCTGCCACATCGGTGGAAGGAAATGGTCACTCAATGGGCTTGTAGAGAGCTTGTCGAGTGTCTGTTATCGAGGGGACAGTGTGGGGGGCAGCAGTCCTGCTGAAGGGATGGGGGCTGGAACATTGTATGCCTGAAACTCAATCATGAGGAACTGTGTGATTCAGTGATGTAATTCAAACAAATAGCGAAAGTGCTGGAGATGAGCCTTGCTAGAAAGGAGGGCGTGCAGGCGCTGTTGGGGCAGCAGAGGAAGTTCTGGTCATCTGGGGGCCTCCCCTGGATTCTGGCATTTTCTGCACAGTCATGCTGTCCTCTATGACTCCAATTTGAACATCTGTCCCTTTTTAAAAACATTTTAATTGTTTTGGACTTTGGGTCCTATCTGGCGATGCTTAGTGGGGGGGGTCTCTCTTGGCTATGCAGTCAGGAATTACTCCTGGCAGTGCTCCGGGGACCATATGGGATGCCAGGGATCGATCCCAGGTTGCCTGTGTACAAGGCAAATGCCCTCCCTGCTGTACTATCATTCCAGCCCCAAACATGTCATTTAAGCCAAAAAGCGATCTAAAATTGGCCTAAGGAGCAACTGCATCCAGGGCTGGTCAGCAGGTAGGACTCAGCTGCACGGTGGGCCCTCTCTGCCCAGGGGCTCCCCAGGCCCCCTGCAGATGAGGTCAGAGACAGCACAGAGCACTTGACCGCTGGGCAGGGGTGCCTAGCAACCAGACAACAGGGCCCAACACAGATGCCAGCCAGCAGCCTTCCCACTGGCCAGGGAGCGAGGAGGGAGTAGGTTCAATCTATTTTTGAAGAGACATTAATAATGCAGTGACAAACTCAGGGGAGGAAATCAAGAAGCTCTACCTGTGACAGAGAAGTGGCCATGGAAGGAGAGGGGAGGAGGAGGAGGAGGAAGGCCGGAGGAGGGGGAGGGAGGAGGAAAAGGAGGAGGAGGGGAGGAGGAGGAAGGAGGAAGAAGAGGAAGAGGAGGGAGAAGAGAAAGAGGGGGAAGAGGAGGAGGGAGAAGAAGAGGAAGAGGAGGGGAAAAGGAGGAGGGGAGGAGAAAAAGGAGGAGGCAGGGAGGAGGAAGAAGAGGAAGATGAGGGAGAAGAGGAAGAGGAAGAGGGGGAAGAGGAGGAAGAGGAGGAGGGAGAAGAGGGGAAAAGGAGGAGGGGAGGAGGAGGAGGGGGAGGAGGGGAGAAGAGGAGGAGAGGAAGAGGAAGGGAGGAGGAGGGGATGAGGAGGGGAGGGGAGGATGAAGAGGAGGGGGAGAAGGAGAACAGAAGGAAGGGAGGGGAGGAGGAGGGGAGGGGAGGAGGAGGGGGAAAGGGGTATCTGCTCACAGCCATGTCTGCGAACTGCCTCCTCCCACCTGTCCCCACCAGCCCCTGCATCTCTGACTGCAGCATGGTCAGTCAGTGACCCCTGTCCAGGGCCTGCACCACCATCAGATGCCCGTGAGGACCTAGGGGCTGAGTCAGAGTTGGTGGAGGGCTGGGCCAGAGTTCAGCTCAGGGCCACAGCCCTGGCCCATGCTGGAACCGAGCTGCTCTGCTGAGGCCTCTCTAGAAGCTTCTGAATGTAAATAAAGCACCTGCTAGGACAAGCCCTGTAGGGCAGTTCCCACTGGGCCGCAGCCAGCCCCACAGTGAGGAGCTGGGCGGTCGGCGTGGCCCCCACTGCCGGGTCCGAGGGTCCCATAACCCGCAATCCCCCTGGAGAAGCTCCCACCAGCCTGCAGAGGACTTGGCGAATGCGGGCGGGCTGTCCGGGGGTTTGAAATGCTACAGTAAGCGCCTAAATATAGCCGGGAGAGAATGCCAGGGCCTGGCTACAAAGGACTTATTTTAAACTAGTGACGGGCACAGCGCACATGTGGCTAAAAATAAAGGTCTGTCCGGCCACTGCCTCCAGGGAGCACTCCCAGCTGAGTGGCTCCAGGTGGGCCTCTGACCGCATTTCCAGGGGTAAAGGGAGGAGAGGAGCCGCCAGGTGTCTCAGCCCCCCAGACACCCACACTGGAGCGCCCCAGAGGGCGGGTGCGACCACCTGCTCCCCAGATCCACTCGCCCGGCCGCGCGAGGGGCCTGCGGGCTGGGCACAGAGGACAGCCACCCAGGGGCCTCTCGGGGCGGGTCAGGCCAGCCCGGTCCAGCGCCGGCCCTACCTTCTCGCCCTCGTCGGGGTTCTTGTCGGGGTGGTACTTGAGCGCCAGCTTGCGGTAGGCCTTCTTGATCTCCTCGGGGGAGGCGCTGGGCTTCACCCCCAGGATGTCGTAGTACTGCGTCTCCTTCACCATCTTGTCCCTGGGCCGGGCGGGCAGGTCAGCGCCCCGGCCCGCGCCCCGCCGGCCCCGCACTCGCCCCGCCGCGCCGCCCGCCCGGCCCCGCCGCCCGCCCGGCTCCAGGCGGGACGTGACGCCACAGGCGCCAGAACCGCCCCGGGTTCGGCGGCCCGCCCCGCCCCGCCCCGCGCCCGGTCCGGCCCGCCCCGGGCGCAGCGGGACCCGGACCCGAGCCCGAGCAGCAGCCGGCGCCGACCCGCGCCCGGTCCGACCCCAGCCCCGGGAGCCCGGCCGCACTCCGCCCCGCGCCCGGGCCCAGCGGGACCCCGACCCCAGCCCGCGCCCCAGCAGGGCCCGGGACCCCGACCCGCATCCGGACCCGGACCCCCGCCCAGACCCGGGCCCCAGCGGGACCCCGACCCCAGCCCGCGCCCCAGCAGGGCCCGGGACCCCGACCCGCATCCGGACCCGGACCCCCGCCCAGACCCGGGCCCCAGCCGGACCCCGGCCCGCGCGCGGACCCGACCCCAGACCCCGGGCCCCAGACCCCAGCCTGGACCCCAGGCAGGACTCCGACCCGGCCCCCAGACCCGGGCCCAGACCTCAGATCCGACCCCGGACCTGGGACCCGACCCTGTGTCTGACCCGGGACCCGACCCCGGACCCCGAACCCAGACCCACACCCGGACCCGGGACTGAGTCCAGACCCGACCCGGGACCCCAGACCCGACCCCGGACCCAGACCCGACCCCGGACCCCGGACCCGCGCCTCCGCACCTAGCCCCGACCCTGAGCGCCTGACTCCGAGTGCAACATCCAGACCCTCATCCCTGAAGCCCACCTGGGGACCCCGCCCCCAGAGCCCGGCCTCACCCCTGCTCCTCGGGCGCCGCCGCCCCGGCGGGCTCCTCGGGCGACGACTCGGCCTCCCCCGAGGTCCAGCCGTGTCCGCCGCCGCGGGCCATGGCGGGGGCCTTGCGGGGCGGCTTCTGGGCTGGGGGCGCCCGCCGCCGCGCGTCCCGCCGCCCCGCCGCGCCCTTGTTCTTGCGCTGGTCCGTGGGGCCTGCGGGTGAGGGTCCTGCGGGCAGTGCCAGGCCGGACCGTGCCGCGCCCGCACCCGCCTCTGCCCGGGGCGTGGCCGCCTCTGTGCGGTCACCGGGTGGGCGGGGCAGCCTCCAGCGGGTGGGCACCCTGCAGAAAGGGCCAGGGACGGGCGGGCCTATCTGGGAGCTGCAGGCGCAGCCCTGCCCTGCCAGCCTCGAGCTAGGCATGCACTGGGGCGTGCACCAGGAGAACAACCACAGGTGCAAGGGGGCCGGGTGAAAGGCCCCGGGGCGCCTGGCTTGTGGGATTGTTGAGCTTGTGTTAACCTGTCTGCTGCAGAGCCCGAGAGCCAGCTCTGCCAACCTACAGCCTCAAACCCCAGTCCAGGTCAAGCTCAGAAACGTCTTAATACACTCTGCGACTTTCTCATCATCTAAAGCAAGCAGGCATGAGCTCAGGACTGAAGCCAGATGCGCGGTTAGCCTGGAACACCTAAAAACTTTTCTACTTAGCTGTGAAAAGCGCCACCTAGTCTGACCTCGGTTAGTCCCTGAATCCTTGGCCTGTCTCATCCTGTGTCCCAGCTCTCTTTCAGCAACCAACTGCTGTCCTGCTCGGCACCTCCCTATTGCCAGAGTCTGTGGGCCAGGCAGCACAGAGCTGTCCCAGCAGCGGTTAAGCTCACCGAGATGCCTGTCCCTGCTGCCTCCTGCCCCTCCATGGCCGCTATCTCTCAGTGCAAGGCTGGGCGTGGGCTAAGCCTTGACTGGGAACTCTCGGGGTTAACTTGGGCCGCACCCAGTCCAGCACCTCATACCTTACCTGACTGCAGTACACACACTCTTTGTCTGTCTCCAGCTGACGGTGAAATCCAGTGCATTTCACTAGACTGAAATCAGGCTGCCAGCTGAGCTCTGGAAGCAGGCATTTGCCTTTTCGTTCCCAGACGTCGCCTTGGCTCCCACTCTGCCATGCAGCCTCATCTCCTGTCTCACTTGGGCCTCAGCGTGCGCTCACCCCAGCTGGCCTCGCAGGCAGGGGACCACCCTCGGACCCCTGAGGCACACGCTGCAGGTTCCCTCAGGTCAGCGGCCAGGGCCACCTCCAGGTGCTCTGGGCATCCCCCATCTCTGGCTGTGCCCACAGCCTCCACTCCCAGCCGTACCGACACCACGTTCACGGTCAGCACTGGCTTCCCAGACCCTCAGCCCCAAAGCCCAGTACCAGCACTGGCCCTCCTTCAGGTCCCACTTGAGTCCAGTTTTCTGGAAGCCAGCTCTGACCTCACAGGCAGTCCATGGGGTGGCTGAGCGGGCAAGCGAGGGTGGTGACTTTTATGGGGCTACGTGAGTGCATACGCCAGGCACAGTGGAGTGTCTTGGACCCCACTATCTGTTTACTGGGGGGAGGAGGTTCCTATAAGGCCTGTCTGGCAAAGAAGCCTTAGATGTGGCTATCCCCCCCATGACTCTCGACATGAGGGCCCAGTGTCCCTCCCTATTCTCAAAGATGAGGGGGGTGCAGGGGAGCCGTGGGGGGCACAGGGGACCCAGGGAGCACAGGGAGCTGAGCCCCGACAGCGAAGCCTCAGCTGCAGACCTGGGTTTGTCCCGCTGACAGGCCTTCAGTTCCAGGAATGGGCTGCAACACCTCCACACCTGGGCCTTCAGCCCATGCCAAGTGCTGACCTGCCTCTGCCTGGTCTCATCCTGATCGCCTGGCCCCTCAACGTGACCCTGAGCCTGTTTCTGGCTCCACGTCCAACTATCACGAAGTGTGAAGGCACAGGCAAAGCTGGAAAGCCTGAAGCACTCACTCCCTCCAGTTGGGGAGTCTGTGCTCTCTAGCAAGGGGCTCCCAGACCAGCTCCCTGCCACCCTCCAAGTCTCCACAAGAGGGCTCCAGGCAGCGGGCAGGCTGCAGGGAGGCCCAGGGTGGGAGAGGGGCTGGCTGGCTGGCTGGCGCCCTGAGGTCTGGGGTCCCTACTTACAGAGGACGTCGTGGTGGGTCACAGGAGTCCTGCAGTCTCAGCCTGGGACATGGCCTGTGGGGGAGCTGCCCCTCCCAGGCACCCAAAATCCAAGCCCTGGGGTAGGAAAGGGCCTGGGACAGCCAGGAGAGGAGGGGTATGGGACATGGGTCACCAACTGGCTGGGCCCCTGCACCCTGCCTGGCTCAGAGCTAGAGGGACCAGTGAGGTCCATGATTCTGGGGAAACTTGGAGGCAGCAAGCCAGAGTCCCGGGGTGAGTGGACTGGAAATGAGTGGACTGGAAATGGAAAACCCGCTGTCCTCAGGGAAGGCTCCGCAGGGGACAGAGCCTGTCCTGCAGGCAGGAGGTTGGGGAGAGCAGGGTCAAAGAGGAAACGGGGGAATTGGAAGAAGCTGGGGGCCCTTGCTGGGGCCCTGAGGCAGGGAGATCACTGCTGGGGGCAGGGGAGCAGGGACAGACCCCAGACCTGGCCGAGGACCCGGGCAGGGTGGTCAGCAGGGGTAGTTCCCACAAGGCCCAGTATGCAGGGACTGCACCTGGAGATTTGGCTGCCTGGGGAGCTCGTGCTGCCCTCTGGGACTCCCCCTCACCCCCACTCGGCCCCTCTGCTTCCCCCAGCCTGCTACCTAGTTCCCAGCTCTGGCTCAGAGAGTCTCTGGCTCCTCCTGCTGGACGCAGAAGGGCAGGAGTGAGGAAAGCAGCCAGGCCACTGCTGGGACTTCCGTGCTCCTGCCAAGAGCACTGGGCGCGGGGCTGGAGAGATAGCACAGCGGGTAGGGCGTTTGCCTTGCACGCGGCCGACCCGGGTTCGATTCCCAGCATCCCATAGGGTCCCCCGAGCACCGCCAGGAGTTATCCCTGACTGCATGAGCCAGGAGTAACCCCTGTGCATCGCCAGGTGTGACCCAAAAAGCAAAAAAAAAAAAGAGCACTGGGCGCTCTGGCAGGAGGAGTGCTGCCATCGTGAGCCTCGGGTCCCTGCAGGTCACCCATCACTGTGTTGCTGCTGTCAGGTCTCAGGAGCAAGGCCTCTCACAGGAAAACACAGAAGTCAGGTGCCAAGACACACAGGACACCCCTCATCCCCCCCCCAGACTCATATAGATTCACACAAATACAGACTCACACAGACACACAGACACAGACACAGACACACATACAGACACACCCACATACAGACTCGCACAAACAGACTCACACATGGACACTCACAGACTCACACACAGTGACTTATACAAACAGGCTCACACAGACACACAGACATACACAGACTCAGACTCACACACTCATAGACACACACAGAGACTCACACAAACACACGCAGAGGCTCACATGCACTCATAGACACACACACTCACACAAATTCACACACACAGAGACACACAGCCACACACAGACTCACATACCCACTCACACACACTCACACTCAGACACACGCAGGCACACACAGACACGCACACGCACACACACACAGAGGCACAGACACAGGAGAGAGAAGAGGACATGGACAGGAGAGGGGTTGATGGGCAGGAGAGAAGCTGCGCCCAGGGTTGCTGTTAGATTGCCTGCATGCACCAGCCCCACAGGCTGCTTCAGATGAAGAGTGGGTATGTTCAGACAGGCTCACACCAGCTCACACCAGCTCCCACAAGCTGGACAGAGCTGGGGCCCACAGAACCACGAGACAAGCAGTTTCCATGCACTCTTGGAAGCCACCACCAGGTGACCTTGCAGGGTGACCTTCCTCAGCCCCCAGCTCCCTGCACCTCACTCTGCGGACACACAATTGTGCTCCCTGTGGGGAACTCCCTGTTTTCGCTGCTTTGAGCTGTGCGGGGTGACCCAGCCCAGAAGGTGGGTTGGGTGGGTGCACTGTGAGCAGGTTTGGGTGAGGCCCCTGATCGCCATGTGGTGGTTTCTGGGGCCCCAGAAGTCTCTTGGCCCTGCACCCTGGGAGAACAGAGCAGATTTGCATCAGAAAGAACACTGGCTTCATTGAAATTCTCCTCCTTGGCTGAGCTGAAACAAACCACAAGAAAAGGAAAGTTTTAATCCTGAGCAACTCGCCTCTAAGAATAGGGAGGAAGTGAACCCCCTTGGCCACTGGGCCTGTGGCCCCTGCCCGTTGCCTGCCCTGTGCCCGCCCAAGGCCACCCTGCAGAGTAAGCCCGGCTCTCCCCCTAGCAGATGCTTCACAGCCCCAGCAGGACGCAGCTGCGCTGGAGGCCAGCATGCCGGACAGCAGAGAAGGCCCGCAGGAGGCTGCAGCCCGACCCAGCATGGGGGGCACGCAGGGAAGCGGGAGCTCCGGAGCCAGGTAATGGGGCTGCAGGGCTGGGGTCTCTGTGCTAGGCCCGCACCTCTGGGCTCCGCTGTGTGACCTGGGCAATGCAGCCCTGAGCTGTGCTCCCAGCACCCCCTGGGCAATGCAGCTCTCAGCTGTGCTCCCTGCCCCCCAATTCTGGCTCTCAGCTGTGCTCCCTGATCCCCCCAACATTGGCTCTCAGCTGTGCTCCCTGTCCCCCCCCATGTTGGCTCTCAGCTGTGCTCCCTGTCCCCCCCATTCTGGCTCTCAGCTGTCCTCCATGCCCCCCAATTCTGGCTCTCAGCTGTGCTCCCTGCCCCCCAATTCTGGCTCTCAGTTGTGCTCCATGACCCCCCCAATGCTGGCTCAGTTATGCTCCCTGTCCCCCCCAATGCTGGCTCTCAGCTGTGCTCCCTGACCCCCCCAACGCTGGCTCTCAGCTGTGCTCCCTGAACCCCCAATTCTGGCTCTCAGCTGTGCTCCCTGACCCCCCCAATGTTGGCTCTCAGCTGTGCTCCCAGTCCCCCCAATGCTGGCTCTTAGCTGTGCTCCCTGACCCCCCCAAAGCTAGCTCTCAGCTGTGCTCCCTGTCCCCCCCCAAAGCTGGCTCTCAGCTGTGCTCCCTGAGCCCCCCAATGCTGGCTCTCAGCTGTGCTCCCTGACCCCCCCAAAACTGGCTCTCAACTGTGCTCCCTGCCCCCCCATGCTGGCTCTCAGCTGTGTTCCCTGTCCCCCCCAATTCTGGCTCTCAGTTGTGCTCCCTGAACCCCCGAACGCTGGCTTTCAGCTATGCTTCCTGACCCCCCCAATGTTGGCTCTCAGCTGTGCTCCCTGCCCCCCAATTCTGGCTCTCAGCTGTGCTCCCTGACCCCCCCAACGCTGGCTCTCAGCTGTGCTCCCTGTCCCCCCCATGTTGGCTCTCAGCTTGCTCCCTGACCCCCCCCAACGCTGGCTCTCAGCTGTGCTCCCTGTCCCCTCCCATGTTGGCTCTCAGCTGTGCTCCCTGTCCCCCCCATTCTGGCTCTCAGCTGTGCTCCCTGCCCCCCAATTCTGGCTCTCAGTTGTGCTCCCTGACCCCCCAATTCTGGCTCTCAGCTGTGCTCCCTGACCCCCAATTCTGGCTCTCAGTTGTGCTCCCTGACCCCCCCAATGCTGGCTCAGTTATGCTCCCTGTCCCCCCCATGTTGGCTCTCAGCTGTGCTCCCTGACCCCCCCATTCTGGCTCTCAGCTGTGCTCCCTGCCCCCCAATTCTGGCTCTCAGCTGTGCTCCCTGCCCCCCAATTCTGGCTCTCAGTTGTGCTCCCTGACCCCCCCAATGCTGGCTCAGTTATGCTCCCTGATCCCCCCAATGCTGGCTCAGTTATGCTCCCTGTCCCCCCCAATGCTGGCTCTCAGCTGTGCTCCCTGACCCCCCCAAAACTGGCTCTCAACTGTGCTCCCTGTCCCCCCCATGCTGGCTCTCAGCTGTGCTCCCTGTCCCCCCCAATTCTGGCTCTCAGTTGTGCTCCCTGACCCCCCAATTCTGGCTCTCAGCTGTGCTCCCTGACCCCCCCAACGCTGGCTCTCAGCTGTGCTCCCTGTACCCCCCATGCTGACTCTCTGCTGTGATCCTGGTTCCCTCCCGGAAAACGACAGGCAGGGTCTGCAGCCCCAGTGGGATGAGCTCTGGGTGGCCTAGAGGGGGTCTGGAGAGGGGTCCCGGCACATCCCAGGGGGCAGCAGGCCAGGCAGAGAGAGGTTTCAGTCTGCATTCTGAAGGAGGCTGTGAACATCTGGGGTCAATGACACGTTTGGAGCCTGGGGGTCCACCCCCGCACCTCCGAGTGAGGCTAAGCCCACAGCCCCTCCACTTGCAGGATGGTGCGTGGCTGAGTGAGCTTCATGGAAGCCCCCTCCTGGCCAGGCTCCTTACTTCAGGGGGCCTGGGGTCGGGGATCCGGTCCAGAACAGCCCCTCCTCTCGGAGGCAGGGGAGGCAGAGGCCGCAGGTGAAGGGACACCTGACAAGAGCCTGGAGTCTGTGGGCCGGGGCCAAGAGGGCAGGGAGGGTGCCGCCGGGCACGCAGGCAGCTGTGGAGCGACACTGAGGTCATTGTTCCAAGTCTGCTGAGAGAGAGGGGCAGCAGCCAAGGGACTCTAGGTCCCCAAAGTTCCCAGAGGCACACCCCACCCCACGACCCCCAGCACAAGCCCACTGCCTTTCCTGGAGCTGAGGCTCTCCCGAGAGCTCCTTCCCAGGGGGCCGCAGAGAATGGCGCAGTGTCTGAGGGAGGAGGCAGTCTGACCCCAGACAGGGGTTCCCCCGGGTGAAAGCTGCTGCGGTTCTGGGGGAGAGCAGCCAGGCTGGGAACAACCCGTCCATCCGTGAGTTTCACCGGAGGGGACAGTTAAATGGGCAGCGCAGAGCCAGGGGCAGGCACACACTTGAGGAGAAGCAGCACTGGGCCTGCTGGGAGGTGAATCTAGGCTGCAGGTCCCCTGAGGGGGCGAGCCCCCAGAGTGGGGTCTGCAGGCCTGGGGGGCAGGAGCAGTGGGGCCTCCTGCTCCTCCCAGCAGGGCTGCCTGCAACAGCCTTCACCGAGGGGCCTGGCTGCCTTTGAAGTGTGGCCACTTGACCGTCCCCACCCCCAGCCCCAAGGCCTAATCAGAAACATCCCTGCTCAGCCTTGGGGAAAGGGGGAGGGTGTGAGAATTCATCTTCAGTCTCCAGGGCTGCGGGAACACCCTGGTGCATGATGGGGCTCGGTGCTCCGCACCCTGAGCCGTCCGTGAGCACCCTGAGGCCCACCGGGAGCCAGACCTGGTACACCAGCCCACCACCCTCCAGTGCCCGGCCTCACTCTGGCCCCTGTCCATTCCTCCTCTCCCCTACAGGATGAGGTGGAGGAGGGGCTGTGTGAAGGCCGCAGAGAGGAGGTGGAGGAGGCAGAGGGCACTGGAGGGTAGTGGCTAAGGCTGGAGGTGGCGGGGCAGTTGACCCTCACACAGGGTTGCGGAAGGATGAAGCAGGCAGCTACAAGTACCTGGAGTAGGACTTATGGAGCAAAGGTACAGAAACAGAAGCGATCTTCCCACCCAGTCTCAGCCCTGGGCAGAAGGTGTCTCGTGCCTCTGCCAGGGCTGAGAGCCAACAGCCACCATCTACTGGCTCTCGCGGCCCCTTATGTAAGCCCGTAGGTGGGCAGAGGGGGCCTGCCAGGTAGGGCATAGGTACCTGGGGCCACACCTTGGGGCAGCCCCAGGGCAGGCTGGGGCGGGTCCCCTCTCCTGCCTGCCCGGCCCCACAGTCTCGTCACCTGGGTCGGGCGCGGTGAACGTTTGTTCCCACACCCAAGGCTGAGCCCGGGAGCAGAGCACAGGCGAGCCGCTGGCAGCCAGGTGAGCGTTGGTGTGGGGCAGCCCCCGTCCCTGGGGTCTAGAGGCCCCTCCTGCCCCCGGGTGTTTAGGGCTTGGGAGGCGGCTGGGAAATGCCCTTCACTGAAAGCCAGGCAAGTTGGGGGAGACCCAAGCTGGGACAGGAGGCGTGGGCAGGGGGCGGTGGGGTCGTGCTAGCACAGCAAGAGCCCCCGCTCGATTAGACGTGAGGAGACAGCTGTCGCCTCCGGTTCACGACCCAGGAGTGGCAAACAGTTGCCACTACCAAGCCATTACGGTGTCTGGGCTCCTGGCCTGCTGGGTACCACAGGGACCCGTAAGAGTGAGGCAGTGGCCCCTCATGGGCGGACTGGCCTGACTCACGCTGTGTCTCTTGCAGGCGGCTTGGAGCCAGGCCTCGCAGGGTGAATGCAGTGCCCAGGGGTGCCGGCGCTCCTTGCTGAGGTCCTTCTCACTCCCGGGGTGCAGCCACCCCACGGGCACCATGCTAGAGGCGCTCCTGCTCAGGGGTGCTGGCTCCGTGCTGAGGACTGTGTAAGGAACAGGCTCCCCGCAGCCGCCTGCCCCGCGTGGCCCCTCCCAGCCTCACCCCGGCGTCCTCCTGGCCTGCTCCCGGGGAGTGGCCCCCCGCGGTGAAAGCCACCATCTGCTCATGCACCTCTTTGGGCTCGTCCAGGCGCTTGGGCAGGGCAGGGCCTGCTTGTGACCATGCTCTTGACCGCCCCTGGGGACTGCTCTGACCCAGGCCCAGGAGTCAGTGGGGAAGTACAGGGGCCCCGAGCAAAGGCTTGGCTGAAGGGTGATGGGGCTGAGGGGCCCGAGGGAGCCAGGCTGCCTGCATCTGGTGTCTCGTCACTCTCACCCCAGGAGCTTCTGGCCTCCCCCGCCTCCATGTCATGGTCACCCAGGGGTGCCCTAAGGGAAGTTGGGGCCCCCGCAGGCTCTGCCTTGAGTAGTTCCCAGCAGCAGACGAGGGGTGAGCACTGGGACCTGAGCTTCTCAGGCAAGGGTACTGTGCTGACAGGCGTCCCCTGCAACCAGCAGGTGCCAAGCTGTGCTGGTGTGAAGGGCTCTGGCAGTGTGAGACCCTGGCCCCAGCAGCGGGGCCCCTCCTGGTAGTGGGACAGCCCCTGCTATCCTGGTGCTCGGCTGGGAATGCCACCTTGGGGCTCTGGGCAGCTGAGTCCCTTCAGAGCATCAGCAACGCTGCTCCCGCCCCGACTCCAACCCGTACATGTCTTGATCCACCGCCGTGGCAAAGGTGCATGACCCTGCTGGTTCCTCACAGACTGGCCCGTCCTTCCTGGCTGGCGGAGACGGGCAGTTTCCTCCTCCACAAGCAGGCGGCTGCTGCCCGCCCAGCGCCTGGGGCCCAGCTTCTTACGCTGTTGACCTGTTTTCAGACCAGAACCAGTTTACAGGTGTTTTATCAGGCGGGGGAAACTGCTTGCACCTTTGATGCTGGCGATTTGAAAACCTTTGTTTTGAGGAAGCAGTTCCGGTGGTGGGAGGTCAGAGCTGAGGAGAGAGGCCTTGGTTAATTTGGGGGTGGCCGCCTGGCTGCTGTCCTGGGGTACCGGCGGCGGGGGGGAGGGTGGCCTGTGGCCTCGGCCCTGGAAGGTGGTGGTGGGTTCTGAGCCTGGGGTGTGCGGGGGCTCGCCTGCCCTGGATTGTCGGGAGCAGGAGCAGGAAGCTGCCAGGTTCTGGGCCCATGGTGAAGGCGGAGCTATGCCACAGGCCTTGAGGCGCCAGGCACAGGGCGTCGTCTGCAAACCGTCTGGCTGGTGCTCCCGCGGCCTCATGGGGACAGGCTGCTAATCTCCGTCCCAGGGCACTTGCCAGCCCAGCCCCTCTGGATCCCTGCTCTCTGCACCTTCCTCATAACCTCCTGCTTTTTGCCTTGAACCGACCTCAGGTTCTCAAGCCGACTGCGGCCTGGCGGGCCTGCATGTGCCTGCAGACTTAGCTTGAGCCTGCGGTGCCGGCGAGGAGTCAGGGCACATACGAGCAGCAGGTAACCACCGGCTGCCAGGCAGCCACCCGGCGGACCCCCACAGAGCCTCCCGGCTCTGTCCTGAGGTGTTTGCCCCACGTCCACTCCAGCACCCAGAGCTGAGGTCTGGCAGGCACCTACAGGGGGCGGGGGTAGGGCAGGAGGCCCCCAGTAGGCACAGGCCGAGTCGGGACTACCTCTGTGCCCCGTGCTGTGTGGGGGGGCCCTCTTCCAAGCCTGAGCACCTGCACTATGCCAGGGGCCACGGTGTCGGACCCCACATCCTTCTGTGCAGGGGACCCTGAGACAAAGAGGCCTGTGCTTGCCCAGGGCACACAGCAAGTCTGAGAGTCCAGCCTGGCCCTGGGAAGGGGAGGCCGTGCAGCAGCCTTGTCCTGGGATGCCCTGGTCCTGGCGGGCACTAAGCCTGTCCTACCCCTGCCCCCTCCCCCCCAGCTTCCTGACCGACAAGCAGCCGCTCTCCACAGAGTCTCTGGGCCAGGCTGCCACGCAGGCAGCCCCGCTGAAGGCCCAGGATGGCCCGCTGGCCCCTCCAGGTGAGCCGTGGGGGACACTGGGGCTGCTAGGAGCTGCGGGCAGGAGAAAGTGGGGGATCATAAGGCACCTTAGGGGTGGGTGGGGTCCGGCCCCTGTCACAGGAGCCTGGAGGACAGGCTGGAGGGAGGCGGCAGGAGAATGTCCCTCTCATGGTCAGGCTGGAGAGCACCAAGGCAGGAAGGGGCCAAGCCCAGGCACAAAGCCCATGTGCTCCTGCCCCGGCGAAGGCGCAGGGCCTGAGTGGCTGGCTGGCATCTTGGACAGGTCATGGGATGAAGGCAAAGGTCGCAGAGGCTGCATGTCCCTGGCAGGCTCGGAAGGCTCACACGGTTCATGCATGAGCCTGGCACTGGCTTCCTTCTGTGTGGTGGGCGGCAGACTGGCTCATGGGTGCCGTGTCTGCCATGGGATGGGCTTGTGGGTGATTGGTCACCCCTGGGTTGGACAGAAGAGTGGTCTGAAGTGGGCAAAGCCAGGGTTCTGTGGGGTACCTGGTGCTGCAAATGGGGAGTATACACCCCCCTCCCTGCCCCCAGTGCCCACCTTCCCGGCTCAACCATCAACCTTCCAGCTGGCATGGTCTGTGCTGCCAAGGCCGTGACAAGACTGTTCTGTGCTTATCTCTTGCTGGCCTCTTTCCTGAGCCTCCCCCGGAGGGCCTGGCAGAGCCAAGCCGTCCAGGTGGTGTGGGGCAGAGCCTGAACTGGCCAGCCGCAGCAGGGCTAGGTCCAGGACTGAGTGTCCAGGCCTGAGAACTCTCAGCCCCCAGAACCGGGTCCCTGATCTGCCATTCCCACGGTCCCCACGGCCCTGGCCTCCCCTCTGCCACCCTGTTAACGAGAGGGACTCATGGGTTGTAAGGCGCCTTTGTCCCAGTGCCTGCCACAAACAGTGACTGACTGATAAGACGCCCACAAGGCCAGCCCTGGGAAAAAACCAGCCAGCCGGCCAGGGCAGCAGAGCGGGAGCAAGAGCCCAGCCTGGTGGGATTGGCTCTGTGAGGTCCCCATGGTCACTGTAGGTCTGCAGCCTTGGTCAGCCTTCCCTGTAGGGGAACCACAGCCTTCCCACCCCATGTCTGAGGCCAGGAGTGACCCCCCCTCGCCCAGAGTGCAGCCTCTCACCCTCAGCTTGTCTCCCCAAGGCACAGAGGCAGCGCTGTGGACGACGCAGGCCGATGGGCGGGTGCAGCTGCGCCTGGACCCCAGCTGCCCGCAGCAGCCCTGCACGGTGCATGCCATGTTCTCCGAGACGCTGGCCAAGTATGGCGAGTTCCGTGCGCTGGGCGTCAAGCGCCAGGGCCAGTGGCATCACATCTCCTACACGCAGTACTACATGTTGGCCCGCAGGGCGGCCCGGGGCTTCCTGAAGGTCAGGCCTAGTCTTGGCCTCCCCACAGGCTGAGCCTTAGAGAAGCGGTGGAGGACTCAGTCAGTGGGGCTGGGCAGCCTGGGTTGGGGGTGGGGGGGTGCGGCAGAGCAGAGACCTTGGGAAGGCCCAGGAGGGTGGCCCTGAGCTGGCGGGGGTTGGCACAAGCAGCCCAACCTGGCACAGACCTGCCTGCCCCTTTGGCCTGCAGCTGGGGCTGGAGCGGGCCCACAGTGTGGCCATTCTTGGCTTCAACTCCCCAGAGTGGTTCTTCTCTGCAGTGGGCACGGTGTTCGCCGGGTGAGTGTGGGGCAAGGCTTGGGGGGGTGGGTGTCTTTCTCTTTACCCAGGCCCAGGCCTCGCTGGGGCTGGGCTGTGCCCTGTCTCAGCCAGGCATGAGCCTGTGTTTCCTGCAGGGGCATTGTCACGGGCATCTACACCACCAGCTCCCCTGAGGCCTGCCAGTACATCGCCCATGATAGTTGTGCCAATGTGCTTGTGGTCGACACACAGAAACAGCTGGAAAAGATTCTGAAGGTCTGCCTCGGCCCCCCAGACACTGGGCCCCGACCCCTGCGGCCCTCCAGCATGTTAGGGCTCAGCTACTTTCGGCCCTGCTGGGTTTCCGGTCCTCAGAGACCCCAGGGGGCCCTGCAGGCTTTTCTAGAATGTTCTCCACACCATGTACTCCCCTCAAATGCCCTTCCACAAAGCCCAGTCCCAAGCTTGAAGCTGCATCAGACGCTGCTGCCCCAGGCGCTCCTGAGGGGGCAGGGACGGGGCACCAGCGGGCCCTGGGACAGTCTCAGGGGGTGGGGAGTACCCTTCTCGTCCTGCCCACGCAGATCTGGAAAAACCTGCCCCACCTGAAGGCTGTTGTGATCTATCGAGAACCTCCACCGCCAAAGCTGGCCAACGTTTACACGGTATTGTCCACGGCCCTGCGCTGTCCCCCACACTGTCCCCTTCTGCACTGTCCCCAGCACTGTCCCCTGCCCTGTAGATGGAGGAGCTCCTGGAGCTGGGCAGTGACATGCCTGAAGCAACACTGGACACCATCCTCCAGGCCCAGCGACCCGACCAGTGCTGTGTGCTCGTCTACACGTCAGGCACCACCGGGCCCCCCAAGGGGGTGATGCTGAGTCAGGACAATGTAGGGCCGGGGGGCTGCAGGGTGGGATGTGGGGTGGGGGCCCAGAGAGAAGCCAAGGAGGGCAAATCCCCCGGGATCCAGGCTGGTGGCAGCTGGAACACAGCGAGGTGGCTGCAGGGACTCTGGGCATCCTGTTCCCCAGATCACGTGGACGGCACGGTATGGCAGCCAGGCAGGTGACATCCAGCCAGCAGAAGTCCAGCAGGAAGTGGTGGTCAGCTATCTGCCTCTCAGCCACATCGCCGCCCAGATCTATGACCTGTGGACCGGCATCCAGTGGGGGGCCCAGGTCTGCTTTGCGGAGCCTGATGCCCTGAAGGTCAGTCAGCCTGTCTGCCCCTGGCTGTGTGCCTGAGCATGTGCTGGGGTGCTCACATGTGGTGGCTACACTGTGCTCATGTCTTGGGTGAGACTCACTTTGGCTAGAGTCGCCAGTGCTGTCTGCACATGTGTCCTGCCTGCACATGCATGTCTCTTGTGTACTTGTATCCTGTGGGCACACTCATTCTCGAGTGCATGTCTGTGTACACACATATACATATATCCCATGTATGCTTATGTCCCATGTGTGCATGCATCCCACACTCCTTTCCCCGGTGTGCCTATGTTAACATGTCTGCATGCATGTGTGTGCACATACAGGTCATGTGCATGCATATTGACATGTACCATGCACATATACTCTGGACATCCGTGTCCCATATTCACACAGCATGCATGCATGTCTCACGTGCAGTCTGGCCTGTATGTGTATGCCCTGTGCAGGGGCTTCTAGGCCAGAATGCTCTTGTTTGTATTTTTGTTTTTTGGTCACACCCAGCAGTGCTCAAGGATCACTCCTGAAATGCTTGGGGAACCTTATGGGGTGTCAGGGATGGTACCCGGGGCAGCCATACCCTCCCCACTGTCCTAGTGCTCTGGCCCCTCCAACAACAAAAAAAATGTTTTGGGGTGTCTTGGGTCATACCCAGTGATGCTCAGGGGTTACTCCTGGCTCTGCTATTCCTTACTCCTGGGATCGAATCTAGGTTGGGCACATGCCAAAAAAGCACCCTCTCTGCTGTACTACCACTCCCGCCCGCCAACCAGAATTCTTAAAGCAGCAGGTTCCACCACCCGACACACACCCAGACAAGCAGGGTTGGTGCCTAGAGGGATGAGGGAGAGGACCTGGCCGGAATACAGGTGCCCTGCAGCCTCCCTGTCAAGGGACCAACATGAGACCACATTCCCCTTCCCGCAGCAGTGTGGGCGGGCTTGTGTGTGGGGGTGAGCTGGTGGCCCCGAGCTGGCTATGCCCTGGCCATGCCAGCTGGCCTCCTGCCATTGCTGTCGGCGAGCAGGGGAGCCTGGTGAACACGCTGCGGGAGGTGGAGCCCACGTCCCACATGGGGGTGCCACGCGTCTGGGAGAAGATCATGGAGCGCATCCAGGAGGTGGCAGCTCAGTCTGGCTTCATCCGGCGCAAGATGCTGTTATGGGCCATGGCTGTGACCTTGGAACAGAATCTCAGCTGCCCAGGAAGGTATGAAGGGCACGTGAGGCAGAGACCTGGGAGGCCATTCAGCGGGGGAGTGAGAAGACCACGCCCTGAGGTGTGGAAGGAGAGGACACTCTCCTGGGGGTGTGGGAGGACACTCTCCTGGGGGTGCGGGAGGACACTCTCCTGGGGGTGCGGGAGGACACTCTCCTGGGGGTGCGGGAGGACACTCTCCTGGGGGTGCGGGAGGACACTCTCCTGGGGGTGCGGGAGGACACTCTCCTGGGGGTGCGGGAGGACACTCTCCTGGGGGTGCGGGAGGACACTCTCCTGGGGGTGCGGGAGGACACTCTCCTGGGGGTGTGGGAGGACACTCTCCTGGGGGTGTGGGAGGACACTCTCCTGGGGGTGTGGGAGGACACTCTCCTGGGGGTGTGGGAGGACACTCTCCTGGGGGTGTGGGAGGACACTCTCCTGGGGGTGCGGGAGGACACTCTCCTGGGGGTGTGGGAGGACACTCTCCTGGGGGTGCGGGAGGACACTCTCCTGGGGGTGCGGGAGGACACTCTCCTGGGGGTGCGGGAGGACACTCTCCTGGGGGTGCGGGAGGACACTCTCCTGGGGGTGTGGGAGGACACTCTCCTGGGGGTGTGGGAGGACACTCTCCTGGGGGTGTGGGAGGACACTCTCCTGGGGGTGTGGGAGGACACTCTCCTGGGGGTGTGGGAGGACACTCTCCTGGGGGTGTGGGAGGACACTCTCCTGGGGATGTGTCACCTGGGGACCATCTCTCAGGGGCGTATGAGGGCCACTTCCTGCAGGGTCTCCTGGTGGGTTTGGGAGGAGCTTCTTCTGGGGATGTGGGAGGGTGGTTTCCTGGGGGGTCTGCTGCGGCACTGGGGGCAGATCCCAGGACAGGACTGCCTGGGGCCCGAGCCGGGGGTGGCCTGCCCCTGATGGGCCTTCCTCCGCGGCCGCCCCTCTCCACCAGAGACCTGAAACCCCTGGCCACCAGGCTGGCCGACTACCTGGTGCTGGCCAAGGTGCGCCAGGCCCTGGGCTTCGCCAAGTGCCGGAAGAGCTTCTACGGGGCGGCGCCCATGACCGCGGAGACGCAGCGCTTCTTCCTGGGCCTCAACATGCGCCTGTACGCGGGCTACGGGCTCAGCGAGACCTCGGGGCCGCACTTCATGTCCAGCCCCTACAACTACCGCCTCTACAGGTGGGCGGGGGCCCGGCGTGGCGGGTGCGGGCCCCTCGGCCGGGGAGGCGCTGACCCCCGCCCGCAGCTCCGGCAGGCTGGTGCCCGGCTGCCGGGTGAAGCTGCTCAACCCCGACGCGTCGGGCGTGGGCGAGATCTGCCTGTGGGGCCGCACCGTCTTCATGGGCTACCTCAACATGGAGGCCCGCACGCGCGACGCCATCGACGCCGACGGCTGGCTGCACACGGGCGACATGGGCCGCCTGGACAGCGACGGCTTCCTCTACATCACCGGGCGGCTCAAGGGTCAGCGGCCGGGCGAGCGACGCAGAGGCGGGGCCGCGGGTGGGCGGGGCCCGCGTGGGTGGGGCCTCCTGGAGGGCGGGGCCCCGCGTGGGTGGGGCCTCCTGGAGGGCGGGGCCCCGCGTGGGTGGGGCCTCCTGGAGGGCGGGGCCGCGGAGGAGGCAGGCCTCGGGGCGGGGCTACGGGAAAGTGGGCGGGGCTGCTGAGGTGGGCGGGGATTGAGTGGAAGGGGCTGTGCCTGCGGGAAAGCGTTGAGTGGGCGGAGCTGAAAACATGGGCGGGGCACAAGTGGGGCTGGGGATTTGGGCGGGGCCAGGGAGGCGGGGCTTTGGGTGGAACTGAGACGCAGGGGCGGGGACGGGTGGGGCTTCTGGAGAGGGCGGGGCCGCTGGTGTGGGCGGGGCTTGACTGGGAGGGGCGGACATAGGCCGTGCTGTGGGAAGAGATGCAAGTGGAGGCGGGGCCACGGGGGCGGGGCTGTGACTGTGGGCGGGGATACAAGGCCAAGACTTGTGTGCAGGGTTAAGGGGCGGACTGTGGGCAGGGCTTCAAGCAGGGCGGGGCTTCAGGGGAAGGGTTGCAGCTGCGGGGGCGGCTTCAATGCACGGATTTGGGAAGCTCCTGTGTGAGATACCCACCTTCCTCGCCCCGGGTTGGTAGTTGTTACACTGTCACCATCATCAATTTGCTCCAGCGGGCCCAGTAACGTCTCCATTTTGAGACTTGTTACTGTGTTTGGCATATTGAATACATGGAGGGGGGGCTTGCCAGGCTTTGTGCGGGGTCGAGATACTCTCGGTAGCTTGCAGAGCTCTCCGAGAGGGGCGGAGGAATCGAACCCAGCTCGGCAAGCGCCCTACTGCTGTGCTATCGCTGGGCGTGGTGGCGAGCACCTGTAGTCCCAGCTACTCGGGAGGCTGAGGCCGGAGGATTGCTTGAGTTCAGGAGTTCTGGGCTGTAGTGCGCTACGCCCATCGGGTGTCCGCACTAAGTTCCGCATCAATATGGAAGCGGAGGACCACCAGGTTGCCTAAGGACCAGCCCGGGTCGGTAGCCGGTCCAACATCTACTTACTGTGGGAACAGCTGGCCCTTCACCTCTCAGCCCTCTAGTAATTGCAGGAAGAGAGCTAGGATTCAGACCCTCGGGGGAACAGGTACCTCCCCCAGAGATCTAAGGGCACAAATGTGACTTTCATTTCCAGCACCGCATGGGCCATCTGGGCTTGTGTTGCCCTTCGATGGAGCACCTAGATTAACTAAACTCAATGGCCTTTGTCCCCAGAGTTGATCATCACTGCGGGAGGGGAGAATGTGGCACCTGTGCCCATCGAGGAGGCAGTGAAGACGGAGGTGCCTATCATCAGCAATGCTATGCTCATTGGGGACCAGAGGAAGTTCTTGTCCATGCTAGTCACCTTGAAGGTGGGTCTGGGGGCCTAGCTCTGGAGTTAAGTTGGGGCCTGCTGAGCTGCTTCCTGCCCAGGCTTTATTGCTGAGTCTCAGTCCGCTGCCAGCCTACACCGTGCTGATTCCTGGGCCTGTGATCTCCCTGCTTCCAGAGCAGCCCCTTCCAGCCGCTACCTTCCCCTCCATCCATCTCCCAGGGAGGTGGGCAGGGAGAGGCGCTGGGGTCAGACCACCCCTTCCACCAGCACAGAGGGCTCCTCACAGACAAGGGGCGGTCTTTCCATCCCAGTGCACACTGGACCCAGACACATCGGACCCCACCGACAAGCTGACAGACCAGGCTGTGGAGTTCTGCCAGAAGGTGGGCAGTCGGGCCACCACAGTGTCGGAGATCGTGGGCATGCAGGACACCGCCATATACCAGGCCATTGAGGAGGGGATCCGCCGTGTGAACGCCAGGGCAGCGGCCCGACCCTACCACATCCAGAAGTGGGCCATTCTCCAAAGAGACTTCTCCATTTCAGGGGGAGAACTGGGTATGTTTCCTTGTGCTGATATGGGAGGCCTGTGGCTACCCTGGAGAGGCCCACACCGTGGCCAGGCCCCTGGCAGCAATAGACTGTCACTCCTCATCTGAATGCTCCAGAACAGACCCGGGTAGCACATGGCTCTGCCTGGCCAGCACCTCTCCCACAGCTACCATGGGCTCTAGCTAGACAGGCCATGCCCTGCTCCAGGGTGTCAACAATGTGACGGGGACATGGTCTGTGCAAGGGCGGCACGGGAAGGCACAGAACAATGCTTCTGAAGGGAGAACGTGTCCTCCGAGTCCTGAGCTGGGTGACAGGTAAGGGCAAATTGCCCTGAGGAATGAGACATCCTCCATGTGCTCCCATAGACAATCTGACCTTTGGCCAGGGCCCAGCCTTGAGGAACCCTTTCTCTGTGGATTCAGAGGGGCACCAAGGCCAGAGTGGAGGGCGTCTCAGCGATGGCTCCCTGTAGGACCCACATACCTGGACCAAGGGGCAGTTGCAGGCCACTGGGGTCAGCTGTAGGATGCTGGAGGTCGTAGGATGAGGCTCCAGCTCCCTGGGGTCCTCCCCACACCACAGGTGGCCTGGCCCAGAAAGGAGCTTCCAAAGCCCTAGGGCAGAGTCTGCCTTAGACTCAAACATTCATGAAACAGAGCAAGACAATCAGCCAGGGTAGCCCTGGGTCCCACGGACATGCTCACAGCCTCGCTTTCTGTGTGCCCACCAGCGTCAGGAGCAGAGCCCCTAGAGCCAGCTCCTCCAAGGCTCACCAACTGCCCCCGCTCACTCCCCCAGGGCCCACAATGAAGCTGAAGCGGCTCATAGTTCTGGAGAAGTACAAGGACATCATCGACTCCTTCTACCGGGAGCAGAAGCAGTGACGTGTGGGGGCAGTACACGCTGGTCCAGCAGGTTCCCGTCCAGGGTCAATACCAGAGCCAGCACCTACAGTGGCCAGATTGGGTACTGACCCTTGCTGAAAAGCTTCGCGGGGGCAAGTGTTAACTAGCAGTTGACAAAGTGCTGGCCCCGGTGGGTTTTCAGGGTGAGCTCAGAGACAGGGTGACTTGGCTGGATCCTGCCGGATCCAGGGGCCCCTGCAATACTCCTGTGCCTCCCATGCCAATCACTGATGCTTAATAAACTGCTGCCGCCTGCCTGGTTATATTTTGTGTGTGATTTAAACATTAAATTTCAGAATGCAGTGCCCATGCAGAGCATGAGCAGATGGGCCCCGTGCAGGGTCTGGAGGCCATACCTGGTGGTACTTATGCCACTCCCGGCTCTGTCTCAAGGGGCCATGTGATGCTCAGGACTGAACCTGAGCCTGTCACTCTGAGTAGCAAGCAGAGGTAGGACACTCGGGGCCTCTGAGCAGGAAACAAGTGGAACAGACAGGTCTTAATCTGAGTTGGAATTCTTTTATTAGCATGAACCCAGGAGCCATGATATTAGCATAGTCCAGTAAAACAAGGAAGCAGCGATTTCAACAAGGACAAGTACATTAAGATTGTAAGTCGGGTTACAAGCCTCAAGATGACGCAGACGGGGTAGACAAGAAACCCCCAGCAGCCTGAGTCCCATCTGCAAAGCCACGGGTTTGCAATGCCACACAAGGGCCAGGGGAGAGTGAATCGCATGTGATGTGAGGACCAAGATGAGAGTGAGTGAGTGAGTTGAGTGAGTGAGTGACATGCTGGGTGAGAAGTGTCCACAAAGTCCGAGGCTCGGCACAAATCCTGGACTGGCAGCAGCTGGTGATGGGCTGTACTCTCTGGGCCCAGCACCCTGGAGAGCAGACAGGGTCCAGTGCTGGGCAGGGAAGGGCAGCCCCTCACTACAAAGTTGGGAGCCAGCGTGGCCACTTCTTAACCACAGCCCACATCGAGGCAGGCAGGCGGGCATGAGCAGCCACTTGGCTGCCATTCCCGGCAGGCACACATGTGCTTGTACCCTGCTGGGAAGCACCAAGCCACCCATACGTGAGAGTCCCAGGACATAGGGTGGAGTGGCCTCCCCTGGATCTCTGCACAGTGTGCCGCCTGCAGTTATCACACAGACACAGGTGAGCCTCTCGTTTGCACTCTCGGCTCTCAGGTCTTTATTCACACTCGGAAATTCATGGGAAGGACGCAATTCATGGGAAGGGTTTGCGCGTTACTAAGAAAAGTGCCGCCATCTCGGCTTCTGCGGGAGCTTTCCCAGGAAATTTCTCGGTGCCTGTTTTTTTTTTTTTTTTTTTGATGAATTCTGTCTTGTGCCATTATTATGTCAATATTCGGTTGTATTTATTACGTTTTCCATGAACCAAGGAAAACAAATTTTCTTTTAAAAAGTTAATTTTTCTCTTATTAATTCTGTATCATATTTACAGCTGAGGAAAAGTATTTTAACTGAAATGTAAAATGATTAAGAATGGCAAATGATACAGTCCACTGAAGAGTTTACAAAAATGTATACCAGATAGACATTTAATAAATAAAACAAGCACTAGGAAAAAGTCCTTTGAAAGCAGGCGGGGGCACCCCCTGTGCCCTGCGCAGACCTTTTGTAAGAACAGGCCAGATCTGAACATGGATTCTGTCGAGAAGCAAACCGAATTCACACAGAATAGGGGGTGGTGACCCCGGAGTGGGTGGTGCGGGGACCTGTCTGCAGGGCCTCAATCCAGATCTCTCACTCGGCGGCAGATTTCCTCTGTGAAGTCAGAGCACTTGGAATTGCCTCCCAAGTCTTTTGTTAAGCTCTGGGGAAAATAAAAGCAAAGGTAAGGAAGAATGCACGGCTGTTTTCAGGGAGCGCCTGAGACGAGGCCTGTTTGAGCCCTGGGGTAGAGGTCTCTCCCTTAAGCCCAGCACCCAGGACTGGGAAGGCCAATGTGTACGCGGTCACTTGGCAAGAACAGAAGCTTCTGTACAACGGGAAAGAGGAAGATTTCCAACTCCTTCCTCCCCCCACCCAGCAACAGAACAGGTCCGAAGAAAATGTTCAATTAATGGGCATCTAAATGAAAGCAACCTTGGGACTGGGACTGGAGCGAGAGGACAGAGGGAGGGCACTCGAGTGCCTTGCACATGGACAACTGGGCTCAATCCCCCTGACCCTATGTAGTCCCCCAAGTAGCACCAGGAGTAATTCCTGAGTGCAGATTCAGGAGTAACTCCTGAACATTGCCAGGTGTAACCCCAAAACAAAAATATAAATTACTTTTAAAGATTAAAAATAAATAAAAGCAACCTAAGCAGGGGTTTCATAAATTCTTGGGTGGGGGGTTAAGTTTAGTAAACTAGAGAGGCTGAGGAGAGACGACTCAGAAGGCTGACACTCTCTGGTCTGTGCTGGAGTAACTGTCAGCACCAAGCCGCGAATAGCCCCTGAGCACTACCAGGCATGACTGAAACTTCCTAAATTCCAAACACAACAAAAAGCAAGAGGATTTGGTTTGTTTTTGGAGGCTGAACTCTGAGGGAGGTGCAGTTGTGCCTCAGAGACACTTTTCTTTCAGGCTGTTAAAAACTAGCTCCGGTGTCTTGTATTTGTTCGTAAGAATTTAAAATTACAGACTCTAGAAAGGGAGAGGGGTGCCAAGGGAAGGGGACAGGGCGCTGGGCTGGGCAACAATGGAGTGGCCTCTACTGAAACGAAGCCCCAGCGCTGTTGCTGCTCAGCTGTGGCCACACCGAGGATGACTGGAACCCCTAGGCCAGGCCCAAAGCCTGGGTACTGGTGGGTGAAGGTAGACTGGGCGGTGAGCCCCCCACCCCCAGAAGCTGGTCTCTGCGCCTCTGATAAACTCCAGCAGCCACTTTGTGGAGCTTAGACAGAGAACTGGAGTTGGGAGACAGCTGAAAGGCCAAAACTATGCCCAACAAGCACGGGACCCCGTCATCACTGGGATGACCGAGTCCACCCAAAACAGCTTCTACTTAGTATCTATTAACAGTAGCTGTCCTGTTCTACCGTGCAGAGTATAAACAAGGTCTAATGACAAGGGGCATTTCTGTCCGTGGACAGCCCCAGATCCTGCAGCCTCGAGGCTAGAACCCCACTTGGCCATAGCTCCTAGCATGCACTGTAAGGGCTTGCTGTGGAAAGACCAGAGCTGCTCCCGGGAACCGAGTCTCAGGGGGCCGACCCCTCCAAACCCTGCTTCTGGCCCTTGGTGGTGAGGAACACACACGTGTGGGAACCCTGGGGTCACTTAGAGAGCCCACACCAATGACTTCCTGTCTGACAGTGGATGGGGTACTCATGTCCCCAGCAAAACCAGGTGGGCAGTGCCTCCCCACACCATAGGACAGCCGGTACCTTCCCGTCCTTGATTGTGGCGAAGCACGCTGTCTCGATCTTGGCGGCATGATCGAACAGGCCCATGTGACGCAGCATCATCACGGCACTGAGCAGCAGGGCTGTAGGGTTGGCCATGTCCTTGCCTGCGATGTCGGGGGCAGTGCCGTGGACCTGTGGAGGCAAGGATCAGTGCAGTCAGAGGGATAAACACGAAGTCTGCACTCAGCGACGGAAACAGGCATGTTCCAAGAATTAAGACTTAGGACAATGTTTTAAGAAAGTACAAAAATGAGGGTGGAAAAGAGCTTCAAGGACTGGAGCATGCATGCCGCAATCTCTGGATCTGCACTAGGAATAGTTCCTGAGCACCAGGGGTGGCCCCAGAAGAAAAAAAATTTAAAAAGCACTGGACCAGACAGTACAGCGGGCAGGATGCTGGCCTCGCAGGAGGCTGATCCAAGTTCAATCCCCAACACGCACACAGTCCCCTGAGCACGGCCAGGCGTGGCCCCAGAACAAAACGAAGAAAATCAAGAAGCACAAAAATGGGCTAACAACTTCTATTCAGTTCTTGATAAAAATACTGTAAGAGAAAGAACACACAGACACACAGTGACTAAGGGCTCAGAATCAGTAAGGGACAAGCAGCCATAAGAGGGGCAGGCCCCCCCCACCCCGCCATCCCCATCACAGGCCTTACCGACTCAAAGATGGCTACTCCATTGGCACCAATGTTGCCGCTGGGCGTCACTCCCAGCCCTCCGATCAGTCCGGCACACAGGTCGCTGTCAGGAACAAGAAAGCATGTCACCTGGGCCCAGACCTTGGTTTCAAATGCACTTGCAACTACGAGGAGCTGGAGTTCCGTGGACAGGGGGCAGGTCCAGGATGGTCCAAAGTGTCTAGTGGGCCAGCACACTGCTGACAGTCTGTGTCTGGTACACAGCAGCTGCCCACTGGCACTGACATGATGACAGCTGGAACCCCAAGTGCAAGAAAGCTGAGAGTTCATATGATCTCCCGCACAGGACCATGTGGACATGGCACATGCATAGAGGGGAAAGAACAGGAGGTTGGGGAGGCAGGTAGAGGTGGAAAGAGGAATGTGTGTTGAAATCTCAACATGTAGCAACACAGAGCCACAGACAGGGCACTCTTGGAGGGATTCTTGGAGCTTTTTGGTTTAAGCCTGAAATTATGGCAGAAGTTACCTAAGAAATCTAAAAAGCACCCTCCCACAGACCTAAGTACACCTAGGGAAATGCCAACGTCCATCACGGGTGAGGGGAGAGGGACGAGCAAGGAGCATGCAGCAGCAGAGCTCGCAGGCCAGCGAGGGGGCAAGCATGCAGTGTCCCGACCGCAGGCTCACCTGAGGATGTCTCCGTAGAGGTTCGGCATCACCAGCACATCGAACTGGGATGGGTCCTGCACCATCTGCAAAGTAGGTGCAGGACACTCAGAGGGGGGCCTGGGCACCAGAGCCCACAGGAGGACCAGCAAGAAGGTACATACTCACATTCAAACACACTGTGTCTAGGTACATCTCGTTAAACTTTATGTCTTTACAGTTTTCGGCAACTTCTCTGCATTTCTGCAGAAAAAGCCCATCTGACATTCGCCTGTATTTAATCAGAGAAAAATACTGAAAACAAAGACTTGCATGAAGAGAAGGATCAGAGA